GTGTAGCCTCCTTTTTCTTCCTTCAGCTGTCCCTCTCCTGCTCTCCGGGTCTCCTGAAGGGCTGCTATGTCGATGTTGAAGCGTCCCAGCTCCCTTGCAATGATGGCAGTTCTGCGTTCGGGGCGTTCACTGCCACTGTTGTCCATCAGAGTCCGTACGTTCCACGTACCGAAGTTCATTTTCCTTTTTTGGCCGCAGGGTGGTGACCCCACTGGACGCGGCAGTCCAGTCAGGGATAAGTGAGGCAGACTATGTTTAGGGCACCTTTTCTAGCCCCCTCCCCATGTGGGGTGAGCAGAGTGGGTCCTCAATAGGGCTGCTCAGTCGCGGATACAGCTGCCGAACTACTCAACTGCCTCGGACCTTGAGGTAGAACGACTGAGTCCGTACCCACCGCCCATGTGCCAGTATGTGACTAGGGGCTTCCAGATTTCACAGTCCTGCCCCCGTCGCCACTCGCTGATCGCCATGGGACTTTGGTTGCTTGGTTTTTATTTCTTTGGAAGACGCCTGTGCGTGGGTTTTTTTAATGTGTGGAGGTCAGTGCACAACTGATCAACACACAGACTTCACAGAGTGAGGTTCCACTGGTGATGTAGTTTAATTTATTTATTTATTTATTTTGTATGCTTATATACCGCAATATCTCAGCCTACAACGGCGACTCATTGCGGTTAACAGTACTTAAAAACAACAATAATCAAACAATTTAAAAGCATAAAAAACATATACAGTACACAGTATCGGGCCACCAATACAGACCAATGCATCTCTTAGTAAAATCATAATCCGAATTCATCGTCTATAATTACCAGTCCTTGGTCATCAACTTCATCGCATCGGATTACCCGAATGCTTGTTCAAACCATCCATGACCGTGGCTTCTCAGTCTGTTGCAGCCTTCTTCCGCCTTCGCAGCCGTTGTAACATGTGCCATGTTATCCTCCGCCTGCTCCGCCGTTGAGGTCTTTGGGTCTTCGGACTGTGCTTGGTCTGGAACCTCCCCCGCGGCCACTCCTGGGAGTGCATGGCTCCAGTTGTTGTGCCTACAGGTTCATTGGAACGCGCAAGCCCCCTCACCACGACAAGGTGACAGTCCATCAAGGGGGACCTCCCTAATACCAGAAGCACAGGTGCAACTTACCAAAACCTCTCCAGTTTCATGCTCACGCAGAACAAAACTCAGCATATCTGTTCTTGGACCTGCCATCAAACGCAAGTAGAGAGGATGCTCCGTTTCTGAGAGTTTGCACATATAAACTTGGTCTTTAAGAATATGGCTTATAAAAGTTTAAATAAAACAAACAGAGTCATATTTAGTGGTAATAGTTTTATAATAATGTGTGATAGGAAAAAAAATAGAAGTGTAACTCACATTTCGCTGGCATTTGTAGGAATTAGGAGACGTGGCTTCCTTTTCTATCTTGCGTTTTTGACGGCCCACCATCTTTGCTGGAGTGTTTGCCTTTTCTTCTCCACCAATGTTGCTTTCGAAAATGGGTGAATATTAAGTTGCTCCAAGTGACTTGATAAAATCCAGCAATTTTCTTTTTTTTTTTCACTGAAAGAGGCGGACAAAGGTTGTGCCAAGTTGTTCTCTATGACGGTCCCAACAAAGTTTAAAGATCGTGTCGACATAATCCACCGAAGATAACGCTATTTACAAAAGGATGACCCCAGTTTGCTGGCTGGTTTTCTCCTCTTGGCCATGCACATTTGGAAGGAAAACTTACTACATATTTTTTGGCATTGTAGATCAGGAAGAGCCAGCATACTTATTTGAAATTAAGAAGTAACAAGTAAGGGATAATGGGAGCTTCCTTCTGCACCAGCAAGTGTTGGGCCAGGATGAAAAGGCTATTGTTTAAGTTGTGCTGCAACTATGGCAACAGTTTCGGTTTGAAAATTTAACTGTGTCATGGGCCAAAAATCTGGCACTGAGTGAATGACAAAACTTTCTCCTGCATTTATTACGGCTGAGTGAGCAAGTCTTATTTTTTTTCACACAAGGAAGCCTGCAAGGGGAAATTTGGATCTTCTGTCAGCCAAAATATGGTCAGAAAAAGGAAGGCAAAACCTGGTACAATAGCTTTTCTCCCTCATGTCAGGAGGGACTTGAGAAACTGCAAGTTGCTTCTGGTGTGAAAGAATTGGCCGTCTGCAAGGACATTGCAGGAGGGCGCCTGGATGTTTTACCATCCTTGTGGGAGGCTTTTTTCATGGCCCCACATGGCAAGCTAGAGCCGACAGATGGGAGCTCACCATGCTCCTTGGATTCGAACCTTTCCCTTAGCAGTCCTGCTGACACAAGGATTTAACCCAGGCATGGGAAAACTTGGGCCCTCCAGGTGTTTTGATCCTCCAACTCCCACAATTCCTAGAAGCCTTAAGCCCTCGAATCCCTCAGGAATGTTAGGAATTATGGGAGTTGAAGTCCAAAAGACGTGGAGGGCCCAAGTTTGCCCATTCCTGGGTTAAACCCTTGTGTTGGCAAGACTGCTAACCGAAAGGTTCGAATCCAAGGAGCTGGGTGAGCTCCTGTCTGTCAGCTCCAGCTTCCTGTATTTATAAGAGCTTTATAAGGTCCAATGAATTGGATGAAGCTATTTCGTAATTTGTTCTCCTCCTGATTTTGGATTATGACCCACAATAACACATCCCTATGTGTATGTGTGTATGTATTTCTTGGTGTCATGGTTTTTATTTTATTTTCAGGGAGCCTCCGGTGGTGCAGTGAGTTAAACTGCTGAGCTGCTGAGCTTGTTGACCGAGAGGTTGCCGGTTTGAATCTGTGGAGCAGCATGAGTTTCCGCTGTCAGCCCAGCTTCTGCCAACCTAGCAGTTTGAAAACATACAAATGTGAGTAGATCAATAGGTACTGCTTTGGCTGGAAGGTAATGGCGCTCCATGCAATCATGCTGGCCACATGACCTTGGAGGTGTCTTAGAAATGGTGATGAGCACCACACCCTAGAGTCGGACACGACGGGACTTAATGTCAGGGGAAAACCTTTACCTTTACCTAAGTAAATTTCAATGTATTTTTCTATTACTTTGTAACATGTTTCCTTCATGCTTCAAAGATATTAAGCTAAACAGTATTCTGATTTTTTTTTAAGGGTGAGCAGAGTGAAGAGGACCCTAGAACACTACTTTGGGTGCATCTACACTGTAGAATTAATGCAGTGTGACACCACTTTAACTGCCAGAGCTGAAAGCAAGATATAAATAAATATAAAAACTTCACTCCTCCCTGTTTCTGGCCCGCCCGCGCTCCTTTTGCTACATTCGGAATACTGAAAACCACACATAAAGCCGACGCGGTGTGGTTTTATTTTCTGTTCCACCAACCCGCGCGCATGCTTTTTCCTCCTCAGCCGTAGCTTTGACAGGCTCAACCTCTTCTCGACCCCGAAGCGGAATGGGAAGGACGGATATCGTCACCGCGGCTTCTGATTGGCTGGCCGCTTGGCCGGGGCACTTGGTTCTCTTTTTCTCGCGCCACTTTTCAGGCGCTTTGGCGCGAGAGAGCTGCAATGGAGGGCAGTGAGAGCGCGCGCAACGGGGCCGGTTGCCATGGAGGTGAGAGTGGGTTTTGCGGAGGGAGGGGGGCTGGAATGGAGGGTTCGAATAAAAGAGAGAGCAATGGAACAGTTTGAAGGAAGCTAGGGAGTGTCAGAACCCCCCTCCGGTTCGGAGTGGTTGCGCCTGCCCTTACAAAGGGATTTGAATGGGAACCTGGGGCCAGTACCATTGCGAAATTTGGGGAGGGGGGGTCTGTTTCAAACAAAATGGCAGCAATGTGGCAGCCTTCATCTCTAGTTGAACGGAGGAAGCTTCTGGTCTGGATAAATAAGCCCTTTCTCTCTTAGGAGAGAAAGCAACACACAATACAAGCCTGTGTGTGCGTGCACACACATACACACGTGTGTATACAATAGACTTTCAATTAACCGGCATCCATATGTGTCGGATAAATGTTGTTTCTGGATGCTTCAGAGTTATTATTTTAAAAATAGGCCTAATACTATACCCATGCCACAAACCTTGCATTGACTTCATATTTCTGTTGGAAACACAGTAATTAAAAGACAAGCTTAAGTGACACAGGGTTGCTATGAGTTTTCCAGGCTGTATGGCCATGATCCAGAAGCATTCTCTCCTGACGTTTCGGCCAATCCTATGGCAAGCACCCTCAAAGGTTGTGAGGTCTGTTGGAAACTACGCGAATGGGGTTTATATATCTGTGGAATGATGTCCAGGATGGGAGAAAGAATTCATGTCTGGGTTGTTGTAGGTTTTTCGGGCTATATGGCCATGTTCTAGAGGCATTATCTCCTGAAGTTTCACCTGCATCTATGGCAAGCATCCTCAGAGGACCTCACAACCTCTGAGGATGCTTGCCATAGATGCAGGCGAAACGTCAGGAGATAATGCCTCTAGAACATGGCCATATAGCCCAAAAAATCCCTACAACAACCCAGTGATTCCAGCCATGAAAGCCTTCGACAATATATTGAGCTCTTGTCTGTTTATGCAAGTGTGAATGTTGCAATTGGACACCTTTATTTGCACTGAATGGCCTTGCAGCTTCAAAGCCTGGCTGGTTACTACCTAGGGGAATCCTTTGTTGGGAGGTGATTTGCTGGCCCTGATTGTTTCTTGTCTGGAATTCCCTAGTGTTCTAGTGTTCATTGTTTACTTACCTGATTTTGGAGTTTTTTTCAATACTAGTAGCAAGATTGTGTTCGTTTTCATGGTGTATCTATCTCAAGTGAGGTTTATATATATATATGTGTGTGTGTGTGTGGAATGTTATAATGTTATAACCAATTGCAACATTCATACTTGCCTCAAGCAGACACGAGCTCTTTCTCCTACCCTGGACATTCCACAGATACATAAACCCCATTGCCCAGTTTCCATCAAACCTCCCAACCACTGAGGATGATTGCCATAGATGTGGGTGAAATGTCAGGAGAGAATGCTCCTAGAACATGGCCATACAGCCCGGAAAACTCACAGCAACCCAGTGATTCTGGCCATGAAAGCCTTTGAAGACACATTAAGTAACATAGCTTTACTGTATTATAAAAACTGGTTATAACTACTGATTTTATTTTATTTTTTATTTAAAGTATACAACTATTTCTGCTTGTTTCTTGAGTCCCAGCTAACAGCGTTGCCTTTCTTTGTGTATGTATATATATATCTCTCTATGTCCCCATTAACTGTACTGGAGCTTACTTCCAAATAAGTGAGTGTAACGCCACAATCTCAGCAACAAAGAAAATAAATGAGACCCCTCACTCTCGAATCCCTTTATCCTGAGGTCTTCATATCTTTTCTGAAATATGCTTTAAGGGCTGGTGCAATCATAGACATTTTTATTGGAATTCAGTCCTGCTGGGTTAAGGTCCTGTCTAATCTTGGAAGCAAAATGGGCTCAATCAGGTTAGGACTTGGATGGGAGACTGCTAACGAATAGAGGTTGAGCATCCCTTATCTGGAATTCCAAAATATTCCAGCACTGTCCACATTAGTAGCTGAGCCAGAGACATCTTTGCTTTTTGATGGTACACAGACTTTTTAAATGGATATCAAAAATATTGTATGACTTTACCTTCAGGTTATGTATATAAGGTATGCGTAAAATATAAATGAATTCTGTGTTTGGCCTTAAGTCTCTTATCCGCAATATTTCATTATGTACATATTTGTGAATAACAGGTATTCCAGCATCTGAAAAAATCCAAAATCCAAAACATTTCTGGTCCCAAGAATTTGTGTTAGGTGATACTTTATCTCTGTCAGGTGATGTAGGCAATGTTTCAGAGGCAGAAACTGGCAAAAACACCTCTGAGTACAGTATTTATTTCTTAAGAAGACCCTATGGAATTAAGCAGGTTGCATAAATAGTCAGGCAACTTGAAGGCACACACATAATTGTACAAGCGTCAAAGCCTTAAATGTTCTATTCTTTTAAATGTTACCAAAGATACACACATTAAATCATGTAATATTTTTAATCAAAATGATTGATGACTCTCAGTGAGATATTGAAAAGACCACTAGAAATGCCATGCAGTTTCTGATGACTCCAGGGAATGATTCTGTAGAGATAAGAGCTACATTTTTAATGTCCCCCAAATGTCCAGCATCTAGAAATAAGCTGGGTAATGACAGAGTAGTTGTTGAATCCCTTGACAGGATAACAGAGCTAGACTGATCTAATAGTTGTATCACTCAATCCTACAATAGTACTATGAGGGAATTACTGAATGAGAAATTGTGGCAGAAGCAGTCAGCAACAGAATGTGTGAAGCTGCTCTCTGTTGTTAATAAATATTTGGCTTGGAAAATTATTTTTTTCTCTATGGGACAAATGTGAAGGTATCTATGATCACAGATTTGTAAAACTGGCAGGAAGTCAGGGAATCATCTTGTGTAATTCCCGGACATTGTAGGAGTACACAGATAAAGGATCCCTGACCGATGGCAGCACAGTCTGTGTGAAAAACCTTGTCCTTAAACAGTCTGTTTCAGTGTCAAACTATTGTTCCTGTGTAGCTGGAATTTCATGTCCTGTAATTTGGTTTGGGTTTTGCCTCCTGATCAACAGAAAACAAGCTTCCTCCATCATTGTTTTATGTGACAGCCCTTCAAATACATAAAGTCCATTGTATGTGGGATGTATGAGTTTGAAGAAGTTTGAATAGTATGAGAAGGGAGTGACTTAACACAATGCTGTTTTAAAATGCAATGTGGAGTAACCAAATGAACATTTTTTCCTCTTCTGGATTATAGTTTATTTATTATTTATTATTTATTTATTACTGCGCTTGTATACCGCTATTTCTCAGCCTGAATCGGCGACTCAATGCGGTTTACAACAATACAAAAATCACAATATTCAGTTTAAAAGCATATAAACACATATACAATACAAAATTATTGGGCCACCAATAACAATCCAATTGCATCTCGTAACTGAAATCGCAATCCAATCTCGTCGTCCATGGTTACCAGTCCTTTGATCATCAGAATTCATTGCACCGGGTTAACCGAATGCTTGTTCAAACATCCATGTCTTCAATCTTTTCCGAAACACCATCAGCGAGGGGGCTGATCTTACCTCTATAGGGAGGGCGTTCCAAAGCCGAGGGGCCACCACAGAAAAAGCCCTGTCTCTCGTCCCCGCCAGCCGCACCTGTGAAGCCGGCGGGATAGAGAGCAGGGACTCCCCAGAAGATCTTAGGGTCCTGGTGGGCTGATAGGCCGAGATACGTTCGGATAGATAAGTTGGGCCAGAACTGTTTAGGGCTTTAAAGGCCAGCGCCAGCACTTTGAATTGGGCCCGGTAGCAAATCGGCAGCCAGTGGAGCTGGTGCAGCAGAGGAGTTGTGTGCTCCCTGCGCCCCGCTCCTGTTAGTATCATGGCTGCCGCCCGTTGGACTAATTGGAGCTTCCGAGCCGTCTTCAAAGGCAACCCCACGTAGAGAGCGTTGCAGTAGTCAAGACGGGATGTAACCAGAGCGTGGACTACCGTGGCCAAGTCAGACTTCCCAAGGTACGGTCGCAGTTGGCGCACAAGTTTTAACTGTGCGAATGCTCCCCTGGTCACCGCCGAAACCTGGGGTTCCAGGCTCAGCGATGAGTCCAGGATCACACCCAAACTGCGAACCTGCGTCTTCAGGGGGAGTGCGACCCCGTCTAACACAGGCTGTAACCCTATACCCTGTTCGGCCTTGCGACTAACCAGGAGTACCTCTGTCTTGTCTGGATTCAATTTCAATTTGTTCGCCCCCATCCAGACCGTCACAGCGGCCAAGCACCGGTTCAGGACCTCGACAGCCTCCTTAGTAGCGGGTGGGAAGGAGTGACAGAGTTGGACATCATCTGCGTACAGATGACATCGCACTCCGAAACTCCGGATGATCTCGCCCAGCGGCTTCATGTAGATGTTAAACAACATGGGAGACAGTATTGAACCCTGAGGAACCCCACAAGACAAAGGTTGTGGAGTTGAACAGGAGTCTCCCAGTAACACCTTCTGAGACCGACCCTCGAGGAATGAGCGGAGCCACTGCAGACAGTACCTCCGAGACCCATCCCCGCGAGGCGTCCCAGAAGGATACCGTGGTCGACGGTATCGAAGGCCGCTGAGAGGTCGAGCAGCACCAACAGGGACACACTCCCCCTGTCGAGCTCCCGACGCAGATCATCCACTAAGGCGACCAAGGCTGTCTCGGTACCATGCCCCAGCCTAAAGCCAGACTGTGCCGGATCCAGATAATCCGTGTCTACCAAGAATGCCTGGAGTTGTGAGGCCACCACACGTTCCATGACTTTGCCCAAAAAGGGGAGATTTGAAACAGGCCGATAGTTGACGAATTGAGTGGGAACCAGTGATGGTTCCTGTGGTGTCTAAGATCCCTGTAGATAGCAAAAACCATGGTTAATAGCAAACTACTGACATTACTTGAAACGGACCCTAGAATCACACTGGAGCACCTGGAATGGCCCATAAACACTTCCAGGATTGATAAATGAAACCACAGATATTGAACCTGTGGATAATGGGGGTGGGAAGATACTATATTGGGATAGTGAAGGTCATAGTATTTATTAAAGCTGTACTGTTACATTTACTTACTGCAAAGAAAGGTCCCAAAAGATAGTCCGTTTGTTTAGCATGAAACATGTGAATATCATAACCGCATAGGAAGGAATGTTAGCAAATTGTTTTAATCAAAGGCTGAAAATGTTGCATAATTACTGGAAAATTGTGCCAGTTTAATACTGGACAGATGACATTTATCATACTGTGTTGTGGTAATGCATTACTACAGCCAGCCCTCCACATTTGCTGGGAACAAGGATGCAGGACACCTGTGAAAGTGGAAAAAGAGCTAATTAAAATTGTTTTTTAAAGAAAAAATCTGAAAGAACACATCTCTAGAAATCCCTGGGTCCTCCATTGTCACTTCATGGTCAACTATCATTTTGAGGGCTTTAGGATGTATATTGAATGTTTGTAATCTCTGGCCCACTGCTTTGTTTTCCATATTTATTGACATATTATAGTTAGAACTAGAATAAATTGTGTTTGTGTGACTTGAAGCAGCTCTATTAGTATGCCAGCTGTTTCTGATTATTTGTTTCTCTCAAGTGCAATGAATGCAGCTTCCACTTGACTTTCCAAAATTGGAGGTTTGTCTTCATATGGTTCTTCCATGGATGAATCTATAACCTTTTCATCTGTTACATAGTTCTTCAGTGGTTTGTTTCCATTACCTTTTTATTTCGACTTTGCCATATACTGTGTTTCCCTGCTTGTTGTAGAGTTCGAGCATAAACCTGGATTATATTTATATTTCCTGAAGTCTTAATATGATTCAGTCAGATTTTGCACTTTCTCCTTGACTGCTTTTGCTATATCCTCTCTATTAATGCTACCCAATTTCTTCTTAATTTTTTATTTACTGAGAAAAACCCTGGTATAATATTTGACTCAAAATGCCCCATTCCTATCTACAGTGTTTTAGCTAATTCACTCCAGTTTTTGTAATGTTTTATATTCTATCTTGTTACGTCTAGCTCCCTTTCATTCATGCTTCTCACACTGCATGTTCCTATAATACGTGTAGTTTTGGTCTTTATTTCTGAGCATGTCAACAGTTGAATGCCCTTTGCGCTTGAGTCCAGTTGGCTCGTTAGCCAGACCATTACTTGTAGATGTTCTTTACTGTATCCCAGTGGCTTGTTGAATGCCATCCCATCAGAGAGATTAACTTTGTATCATTTTCAGATGTTTCATTGTAGAGTTTTTCTGATAAAATGATCTCCAATAGGAGGTCTACTACACATCCTTTTGCGAAATACTATCAGGTGTATATTTATGTATTTACTATATTTCTATACCGCTCTATCACACCCCAAGGGGGACTCAGAGTGGCTTACAATTTGGCAAAATTCAATGCTACAGTATACATACGAAAAGCAATACGTAACATAATTAACTGAAATCAATAAACATATAAACATGAATTAAAACCATTAAAACATAATACATGTAAACATCATAAAATATATTGCACATTACACTGATCCCATAGTCATAATTTAAATAAATTAACTGCTTCAGGTGTAAGATATGGTGCCATGGCTGTTTATGAGATGTTCTTTCACTATTTATTTATTTATCGTGTCAGGAGCAAACCAAACAGTTGTATTGCATTTTAACAAACATACAAACAAAGCACAAAGTTTGCGAGCTTGGTAGTTGATTAAATGTCCTTTGACCAAGTAGATGGCCACTTGGAGTGCTTCTGATGTTGCTGCAAGAAGGTCCCCCATTGTGCATGTAGCAGGGCTCAGGTTGCATTGCAGCAGGTGGTTTGTAGTTTGCTCTTCTCCACACTCGCATGTCGTGGATTCCACTTTGTAACCCCATTTCTTAAGATTGGCTCTGCATCTCGTGGTGCCAGAGCGCAGTCTGTTCAGTGCCTTCCAAGTCTCCCAGTTTTCTGTGTGCCCAAGAGTTCTTTCACTGTTGTTATTATATTTATTATATCCTGCTTTATCTCTCCCAATGAGACTCAAAGCAGCTTAACATAAAAGCTTTGGCATACAATTCAAAATATACAAACATGCAAACATTAAAACAGAATTAAATATAAACAGTATTTAAAAATTCACAGTTAAAATCCATTCGAACATATTCAAAGTTAAAAACCACAGCATTCCTTACTTGAACTTAAAAACCTTCTTCTTTAAAAGCCTGTCTGAATAAAAAGGTTTTAGCCTGCAGCCAGAAGGACAGCAGGGAGGGGGCCATTCTGGCTTCTTTGGGCAGGGAGTTCCAGAGTTGAGGGACAGCCACTGAGACAGAACATCTGTTCTCTTGTTCCCACCAGTTGAGCTAGAGATGGAGGTGAGACCAAGAGAAGGGCCTCTCCGGAAGATCTCAGGGTCCTAGCAGGTTTGTACAAGGGGATGTGGTCAGCCAGATAACCTGGACCAGAGCAGTAGGGCTTTAAAGGTCATAACCAGCACTTTGAACTGTGTCTGGAAACAGACTGGCAGTCAGTGGAGCTGCTGCAACAGGTGGGTTATCCACTTTCTGTAGCCAACTTCAGTGAGCAACCTGGCTGCAGCTCTTTGGACCAGCTGAAGTTTCCAAGTACTCTTCAGAGGGAGTCCCATGTAGAGTGTGTTACAGTAATCCAGATAGAATGTAACTAAGGAATGTACCATAGTGGCCAGATGCAGTTTCTGAATGAATGGGTGCAGATGACAAACAAGTTTTAATTGTGCAAAGGACCTCCTGGCCACTGCAGATACCTGGGCATTCAGGCTCAGTGCTGTGTCCAGGAGGACCCCCTAACTGCGGACTTTTGTCTTCAGGGCGAGTGTGACCCCATTCAGCACATGCTGAATCCCTATTCCCTGATCTACAAGTACCATCCAACTCCTACTTCTGCCCAGTAGCTGTTTAGTACATGTAGCTTGACTTCTCAAGCCTGCCTGATATGGGAGACCCTATCACCAGCACTACTGACATCATGGCATGGTGCCTCATAGCAGCACGCAATCCCACCAGCACAGAAAGATGTGCCATTGGTGGAATTTGGAAAAAGGAAGAGAGGGAAAAAAGAGAAAAAGACAGATGATACATAAATAAAACACAGTTGGAAAAGAAAAACACACAATGTACTACCATTGCAAATTCAGCCAAATAATGCTACTAATTATTTATAATCAAAACCAGATTATTACTTCTGAAGATGCCAGCCACAGATGCAGGTGAAACATCAGGAGAAAATGCTGCTAGAACATGACCATACAGCTTGGAAACAACAGTATTAGATTTCTGGTTGCTCAAAAAAATCCGTAAACAGTTTTCAATCCTCCAAAAAAAAATTTAGTTGGTTATCCATCAAAAACCCAGGTTAACTTGGCAGTTTGGACTCATTCAACAATCTTAACACTCCATCTTTCCATCATTGGTGCTTCAGTCTCAAGTAAATTAAAATTTTGCTGTTGTCATGTATCAATGAGCTAATCTGTATTAAATAGTCAGTTCTGAAAATCTGTTTTTGGGTAAGAGACTTGGTTATTCATGACCATACTACAGGGTTAGTCAAAATGAATAGGCCAATAAGAAAATTAATTTTAGACGAATGTATGTTTACTGTAACCAAACCACAGCTACGTAGCGACAGATAAACTATCAAAGTTTTTTTTGAGCAACACACATGTACGTTAATGCCGCTAGGCGTCGCTAGGGGTCGCTGTTTTCAAAATGGCGGAATCAAGCAAAGAGAAGGCGTTTTGTGTGATGACATTTGCTAAAACAATGTCAGTAATTACGGTCCAGCGAGAATTTCAAGGGTTAGGGATAGGGATAGGGTAGGGATAGGGTTAGGGTTAGGGTTAGGGTTAGGACCTCAACGAACACCTTCCCAGACGTTGCTGCATTCGATGCCATTACGTCGGATGTGCTGCAACGGATGTGGAATGAACTGGACTATCGCTTGGACATCTGCCGTGTCACACGGGGCGCCCATATCGAACATCTCTGAAGGTGAGACAAAACTTTGATAGTTTATCTGTCGCTACGTAGCTGTAGTTTGGTTACAATAAACATACATTCGTCTAAAATTAATTTTCTTATTGGCCTATTCATTTTGACTAACCCTGTAGTATATTAGCACTTTTGCAAATGTGTGTTGTACGTTTATATTCCTGCAGTTTATTTTAAATATTTTTTCTCTTACACTTTTCAGAAGCAGCTGATTCTGCAAATCTTGTAGCTTCACGTTCACGGCGTGAGAAGAAATGTAAACAAGGGAGACAGGATGCATTGGAACGCTTGAAAAAGGCAAAGGCTGGGGAGAAAATAAAATATGAGGTAACTAAAATATTGTTCTGCCTTGAACTGCTAGTGTTTTATTGCCATGGGACTGAATAATAGAAAATGTGTGCCTGTGCACATGCACTGGTGTGTTGGGAAATGTTTGTTTAAATGGGGTCGTCCTTCCCATCCTGGTGTATGTCTGTCTAATACAGGATGGAGAACTTTTGTAAGTTCTCCATCCTGGACCATCTCACAAGTAAGCTGAGCTAGTGACAAATAGAGCAGCAGCTAGTGATAGAAAGGTTCCACCACCATTCTCCCTCATCCACACATTATCAACTAATTTCTCTGGGGATTTCTGGAAAAGAACATATACACTGTTGTGCACGAGTCCTGACAGTTCTGTTCTTGCTTTCAGTTTGTTAAAATATGGCAATGTTAGCTGCTCCTGCCTATTATTTTCGTTAAGATTGCTGTGTTATCAAAGGCAAGTGGCATTAATTTCATCCACGTTGACTTTATGTAGGTAGGATCACTGTTTGCCTGATGCGGTGTTCAAGGGTTTTCTATATTTTTAGTCCATTTTCAAGAAGCTGCTCCCACAACTTTTAGTTTCTTGTTACAGGTTGAGGAATTCACAAGTGTTTATGATGAAATTGATGAAGAACAGTATTCCAAGATTGTTCAAGAACGCCAGGAGGATGACTGGATTGTGGATGATGGTTTGTAATTTGAATCCTTCTTATATTTGGGGTGATACAAAAAACGGATGTTCTTCTGTTACTTTGCTGTTAATGTAGTTAAGGAAATATTGTAATTTTTAAAAAGTCCACAGAATTTGGTTGATCTTTTTTTTTTTTAATTTAAGGAAAGATCAAGAATACTAAATGAAATTGCTTTGTGAAGTGATGCAATTTAATGTTACATAAGTTCTTGTCATTGTCTTTTAACTGTTTTAATACTGATAGACCCTTAGAAATAAGAACAGCATTGGGGTGTTTCTCAAAATTAGGGTACTTTTTAAAAGAGGGACCAGAACGGCCTCCTCCCATACCCCCTAATTATTAGCAAATTGTGCTTTTCTTCAGTAATGTTGATACTGAGTGAGATGTGGGCATTAATTTTGTGGGAACAAGATAATTATTTCATCTTGTCTAGTCCTAGATTGTATTTATTGTCGAAGGCTTTCATGGCTGGAATCACTAGGTTCTTGTGGGTTTTTTCGGGCTATAGAGCCATGTTCTAGAGGCATTTCTCCTGACGTTTCGCCTGCATCTATGGCAAGCATCCTCAGAGGTTGAGGTCTGTTGGAAGTAGGAAAAATGGGTTTATATATCTGTGGAATGGCTGGGTGGGGCAAGGAGCTCTTCCCTGCTGCAGTTAGGTGTGAATGTTTAGCTGATCACCTTCATTAGCATTTGAAGGCTTGCCTGAGCCTGGGAAAATCTGTTGCTGGGAGGTGTTAATCTGTGCCTGGTTTTTTCCTCTCTGTTGTTTAGCTGTTATAATTTTAGAGTTTTTTAATACTGGTAGCCAGATTTTGTTCATTTTCATGGTTTCCTCCTTTCTGTTGAAATTGTCCACATGCTTGTGGATTTCAATGGCTTCTCTGTGTAGTCTGACATGGTGGTTGTGAGAGTGGTCCAGCATTTCTGTGTTCTTCAATAATATGCTGTGTCCAGGTTGGTTCATCAGGTGCTCTGCTATGGCTGACTTCTCTGGTTGAAGTAGTCTGCACGTGCATTTCATGTTCCTTGATGCGTGTCTGGGCGCTGCGTTTGGTGGTCCCTATGTAGACTTGTCCACAGCTGCACATGGCTCTATAGCCCGAAAAAACCCACAAGAACCTAGTCCTAGATTGTTTGCTTGCCCTGCCACTGGTAAAACAGATTCGTATGGTTGGGTTCTTAGACTTTGGTCCACAAATGGCTTTCGTAATGATGATGATAAATACTGTATTTATAACTCACCCTCTATCCCCGAAGGGAATCAGGGTGGTTTATGGAAATAACTAAAATGGTAAACGTTCAATGCCGAAGAACAGACAAACAATTATCAAAACAAAACATATATGACGACATTTGTATTCAGCCAGTCCCCAGGTTACAAACACGATATGTTCTGTAGGTTTGTTCTTAAGATGAATTTATATGTAGGTTGGAATGCATCCATTTTTAAGTGTAACTCCAGCCAAAATTATTTTTTCTCATTTTGAATAGCATAGGGAACGGTTAACACTCCTGTTATGTTTGTTTTGCTGTCTATGCCCCTGTTGAGAAGATTTCACCTCAATGTCTGTGAGAAATGGATTTTGACAATTTTGGCTTGTTGATGGATTGATGCTAAGGTTTCAATAGAACCAACTATAGTTATAACTCTTCCAGGAGTGAATTTCCCTTCCTAGGGATAATTTCCTCTTAGGGACTACCTGTATGTTAAACTGACAAAAAGAGGAAGGTTTATATGAGCACTAAAGAATTTGTGAACTTCTAGATTTTGTTGGACTGTCTTCAGCCCCAACAGCATGGTCAGCAGTTAGGGATGATCCAGTTGTTTTCCAACAACATGGAACTTTCATTTTCTATAATGTGAGTTTAAAGGCAGGACAATAGGAAGTCAAGTAGAAGATAGTTAACCTTTCTATTCTGGTAAATTCTGAAATTTTTCTACCAAAGGCAAATGTGGATATCTTGAAAGAAGTGTGACCCTTTTTTTTTTTGGACAGATGGTGTTGGTTATGTTGAAGATGGCAGGGAGATTTTTGATGAAGACTTAGAAGATGATGCTCTTGACTCCAACAAGAAAAGTGAGTAAATCTTTACTGATGTTCTGAAAGAAATTTAATAAAAATCAGCTGACAGGCTGTTAAATTCACGGAATGTTTCTCATACTGATGTGATTTGCCCGACAATAACCCTTCATGCTTTTTAGTAATTGGAATGGCTTTTATTTTACCAATTTAATAAAGGCCATATAGCTTTCGGCAATTTTTTTGGAGATAGGGAAGAACTCTCAAGTTTATTTATTTATTTATTTATTTATTTATTTATTTATTTATTTATTGTGTCTGAAGCGAATTGAGGGTACAGTTATAATGCCAGAATGCAGCCTGTTCAGCACCTTCTAGGTTACCCAGTCTTCTGTGTGCCCAGGGGGAAGTCTCTTATCTGGTATCAACTACTGATTGGAGTTCCGTGTTGTTGCCTGCTACTTTTGGACTCTCACTTGCTGAGGCGTTCCTGCGAGCATCTCTGTAGATCTTAGCCATTTCTTCTTTTAAGACATTGGCATGCTGGCTGATATCTGAACAGAGGATGGGTCGGAGATCTCAATGCCTCTTACAATATTAACTCTTGAATTAATATTGTAAGAATAACTTGTAGTGAGAGCTAGATGCGTTCTCTTCCCTCTCTTGTGGCAATGAAGATAAATGGTACTGTGGCATAATCCACTACAACTCAGTTTATTTTTATGTGCCAACCCAATCAGGCTTTCTATGGCTGGGAGACTATTACCCATGGTTTTTATGATATTTTAACTGGAAAGAATCCATTGTAGGAGTAACCACTGTTTTTGAATATATTAATTAGCATATTTTTGTAATCAGAGCTCCAGCCAACTTTAAACCACGCTTTATTTAGCTGACTTGTTTTTATAACCATTATTAGGATTAACCACAGTTTAGGTTCTGGACACTGTGCTAAATTGTAGTTTATTTCAAATGAGGAGAAAAATCTTCTTGGCTGTTCCACAAGTGGGAAGAAGGAGTATATACATACAAAGGGGAAATAGTTTTTTTTCCTTGTAAACTTAAAATGTGATTTAATATTGCTTCTGAAAACAGACATAGACTTTATTACATAAGATGATACCTAAATAGATTTTTTTTCATTTTTTAAAATTACTGCTTATCTATTTTATTGGTAGGAAAAAGAGACACAGCTTCCACAAATGAAAAGAAAAATGTGAAGAAGTCTCTAGTATCAAAACCAAATACTATTAAATCTATGTTTATGGCCAATACTGGGAAGAAAAAAGCTGATGTAAGTTTAATATTTCGTGTAAAGTATGTGTATTATTCTGAAGTTTGTGCATTATTATTTATTGCTGATTTTTAATTTGCTGAAAATTTGCCAAAGATTGCTTAGTTTACATTGGGGAAGCTCAAGGGCTTTTTTTTTTTTTTTTTTTTTTTTTGCAATATACCAATCATGAGTGTCTTATTTTACAGAAAACAGTTGATCTGTCTAAGGATGATTTGCTAGGAGATATTCTCCAAGATCTGAATGCAGAGGTAGGAATTAATTTCTGCTTTTGGATGGTGAGAGAGGAGCAAGGTTTTGAATCAGCAAGCTTATTGCTTTTTCCAAAATAGTATACTGGTTTTCCATACCTTCAAAGGAGATCTTCAAATATACTCTGTGTACATGGATTTACAAAAATCCTAATGTAGCTTAATAATATTCCCAGAGAATGATTTAGTTAGAAAATGCTTAGGAATTTGTTTAGAGTAAGTAATGAATGGCCTTTCATGATGATAAGGCAGGATTAATACAGGATTGCCTTTGTTTGTAATCATTGTATCCTGTCCTTTCTCTAAGGAGGTGATTCACATTAAGATGCTTCTGTTTTGCAAATATAAAGAGTGTTTTCTCTCTCTCTTTTAGTCTGTTCATATGGCACCACCACCCGTTCCAGTGCTAAAAAAGAAGAGGCTCTTTGGAACGCCATTGAATCCTTTCTCTTTGCAGTCTCAAGGTGCAACCTGTAAGGTAATGTTTACAATTAGACATTTTTGAATAGATGACAACTTGAGATATAGCAATATGTCCTCAGTATATGTACCAAGTTCTGTTACTTATGTTTCGATCTTGCAAACAAACAGAATGTTATGTCAGCAAGTTAAACTGAAGGCTCAACAATTACATTATGTTTTGATTTTGGAAATGAGACCAAATGCAGAATATGAGGCCTTTTGGTATATACTGTGTACTTGTATATAGTTGATCTAATGGTTAAGTCAAGGGCAGGTTTTGGGGCTAAAATTATGGATTTTGATGGGATCTGAGGATAAGTCAAGGGTTAATGTACAGTATTTACATTGACTTGTAGATAAATAGATCTAGGATTTTTGGGTCAATTTTTGACTAATATTTTTAGACTTATACATGATTATGTCTGATAGACACTTTTTAGACTGGAAAGTATGGCAAAAAATTAACTGGAAAACGATCTGCTTCTTTGATGTTGATTTTGGCTTTTAGAAAGCTAAAACACAAAATTTGGGGACTTTGGAACCTTCAAGAGCACATGTTAGGGATCCCAAAGGCCTCATGCAGTCTTCAGACCACACTTTATTCACCTGTGATTTAAACAAATGCAATCTAAGCATTATTTTTTTAGGAAAATAAAATTTCCTTTTATTTTACAGAAAATTTCTTCTGCGGTTCAGCAGGCTGTCACTCCTGAGAAGAGAGAAATTTCTGCAGTGTACCCATCTCATTCTAAGCATTCCGATTACCCAGCTGCATCAGAGGCAGTCAAAGAAGAGAGCACTGCCCCGGAAAAAGAAGTGGATCATTTGAAAAATGGAGGTCTGCTGAAAATTAAGCAAGAGAATGTTACTGAAGGTATTGTGCTTTGGTAATAGTGCATTTTTTTAAATCATTCGTGTCCCTGAGTGTTATCTATAAATTTCAGTTTTGTTCAAAGTTGAGATTGGTTTATTGACTGTGATATATATTGATGTTTTAATTGTTATAACTATTTAACTGTTGTTTTTATACGTTTATTGTATTATTGTGTAGGCATCGAATTATGCCTATTTGTAAGCCGCCCTGAGTCCCCCCTTGGGGGTTGAGAAGGGCGGGGTAGAAGTATACAAAATAAATAAATAATAAATAAAAGTGTGTTGGTTTGTGCCCTGGATGAGCAGGATTGAACAAGCCTTATAGTCTCTTCTGAGCTCTGAGCTCACACATTCACACACTTTGGTCATGAACGATTGTGTCATATACAACAAAATTGTAAGGGTTACTACATTCCATACAGCAGCATAATTTTCCACAATTTTTGGTTGCAAAACACTATACATGTCATCAAAGGCTTTTATGGCTGGAATCACTGTATGTGGACAATTTCAATGGAAAGGAGGAAACCATGAAAATAAACAAAATCTGGCTACCACTATTAAAAAACTCTAAAATCATGACAATAAATAAAGAGCAAGACTCAAAAAACAGGGGAATTCCAGACAAGAATCGATCAGGGCCAGCTAACATCCCAACAAAGGATTCCCCCAGGCAGCAACCAGCCAAGCTTTGAAGCTGCAGGGCCATTCAGTGCTTATCAAGGTGGCCAATTGTAACATTTACATTCGCCTCAAGCGGACAAGAGTCCCACCCTGGACATTCCACAGATATTTAAACCTCACTTGCCTAGTTTCCAACAGACCTCACAACCTGAGGCCTTGCTCCAAGCCTTGTCTACTTTTAAAGATGGCTTCCTGTGGAAAAAACGGTTGAGGCCCTAACACTTATTTCAAGGGTCTGGCAAATATATGATCCCAGTCGGTTTTTTCCTTTTTTTTTTCTCTTGGGGACTTGTAAATTTCATAATGTCCACATCCACAACAGATACTCTTAAGTAATGTTTCACTTGATGTAATTCTGTTTCTATTTTTATTCACTGTATGACATAGCATAAAGCATCTTGAATTCATTTTGGAAAAACCTCAGGACATTGGTATTTTTATTACAGTGTTTTATGATTCTATTGTACTTTGGTGTAGTTTATATTTTACGCTGTTGTAATAGCCTAGAACCAAGGTGGATTATAATACCGTAATATGCCCCCTATTTTCAGTGCCATCACCACCCCAAGAAAAATACATAAGATATACCCGTTTTAAGAGGTGTTTATATAGGAAAAAAGTGTGTCTTTGAATGGAAGAAATACAGTAATATAACAGGAGGAGGAGAAAGATAGAAGAGGGGGAGGAATGGAGTCTTGCCCTTCCTTGTAGGTTCAGGCAAAAACAACCTACAGTTTCTTAGGCAAGATGGGGCATTTGAGAGGAAAATACAAGGTCTTCAATTTATCAATTGCATTCTATTTCTCAATGACACCTTTCTCTTTCTCCCTTGCAGCTTCTCATTTCTTCCTCCTAGTAGATGGTTCTTCATTTAATTCAAGAAACTGACACCAGGGGTTTGCATACTAGGGATAATGGCAAGAATAATCCTAAATAATGTTTCAGTCAGAAAAAGGACCAGGGATTAGGAATCTCAGCTCTTAGGGTTGAATCTGTTTCACCTCATGTCCCAGTCCAGTTCTCTGAAATTCTCATATTGCTATGCCCTTTACCCACCATACCATTGTTAGGAGTAATTTGTACAAGTTGTAATTTTAAGACACGCTGCATTTTTATGGATGTTTATGCAGGGAAAAAGTGCATCTTAGAATTGAAGACATACATATTTTATTATTTATTTATTTATTTACTTTGCTTCTATACCGCTGTTCTCAGCCCAGGGGCGACTCACCATGGGAAGAACAAATACAAAACACAGTATAAAAACAATTCTCAAACCATTATGCAAAAAACATTATACAAAAAGCATTATACAAACATTGTCATTCCTACGAAAACCATTCAGCGTCGTCTCATCGTCCAAATCACAATCCAATATCATTTTCCGTTATTCCATTCCTATAGTCATTACCAATCATTGCACTTCTTGTTCGAATGCCTTCTTGAACAACCAGGTTTTTAATTTTCTGCGGAATATCAACAGGGAAGGAGCCTGTCTGATGTCCACGGGAAGGGTGTTCCACAGCCGAGGGGCCACCACTGAGAAGGCCCTATCTCTCGTCCCTGCCAGCCGTGCTTGTGAAGCAGGCGGGATCGAGAGCAAGGCCTCCCCGGAAGATCTCAAAGTCCTGGTGGGCTCGTAGGTCGAGATGCGGTCGGATAGGTATCTTGGGCCGGAACCGTTTAAGGTTTTAAATGTTAAAACCGTTTAATTTTTAAATGTTATCACCCTCTGAAATTAAGGAATCATTAAAGTACTTGATTTTTTTGCTTATTAAAATGTCTTTTCACAATTTTTACAGAAGATGAACAAGCAATGATGGATTTTGATGATGGGGACTTTGATGAACCTTTGGAGGAAGTCAGAACTGTGGCAGAAAATGTGACATCTGTGAAGGAAGAGGTGAAATTGGAAAACAAGCAGATGGAGCAAAAGGACTCTGAGAAAACAGGTTCACATTTCTTGTAAGTATCTGTAGGAAAACTTTAGGGACTTCTTTTGGTCTCTATTTGTAATGTTTTACAAGATCTCTATCTTTAGGAACACTTCCTTTGGATATATTCTTGACAAATGTATAAAGATGTCCTCAAAATGTTAATTGATTTGTATTAAAATGATAGGGTGCGACATTTGAATCTTTAGTAATGTTTTTCACAAAAATAGACACTTAAAATATTTCTATTGCCTTCTCTTTCTGGGTTTTTTAAATCACATTGATTACATTTCAGAAACTCCTCCCTCCCTGAAATTTCCTGTTGGGACAGAATTGATGAAGATGAAAATGGTCATCTAACTTCGGAAATTCAAGTAGACTCCAGTCAGCTCCCATTAACAACTGGGGAAGATGGACAGCAAGTCTTCAGGTTCTATTGGGTGGATGCTTATGAAGACCAGTATACCCAGCCAGGTTTGTTTATGCGTTGAATAATCTAGATTAATCTCTGTTGAAAGTTTCTTCTTCCTGCTTTTCTTAGCCAGAGTAATAAAAATGGGAGTTCTAAAAGAGTTAAATGTCTGTTATATTTTCCTTGAGGTTTTATTTATTGTGTCAGAAGCGAGTTGAGGGTACAGTTAACATGTGTCGCTGTGAGAAGGTCCTCCATTGTGCATATGGCAGGGCCCAGGTTGCATTGTAGTAAGTGGCCTGTATATTGTGGACTCCACTTTGTAGCTCCATTTCTTAAGATTAGCTCTGCATCTTGTGGTGCCATAGCACAGCCTGTTCAGCACCTTCCAGTTCGCCCAATCTTCTGTGTGCCCAGGAGGGAATTTCTCATCTGGTCTCAGCCACTGATTAAGGTGCTGGTTTTTAACCTGCCACTTTTGGATTCTCATTTGCTGAAGTGTTCCTGCGAGTATCTCTCTTGATCTTAGGAAGCTGTTTCTTGATTTAAGGCACTGGCTTGTTGGCTGATATCCAGAGGATGGGCCAGAGATATCAGTGCTTGGCTCTTTCATTACTGGTTGCTACTTCCCGACGGATGTCAGGTGGTATAATACCAGCTAAACAGTATAATTTCTCAAGTGGTGTGAGGTGTAGACATCTTGTGATAATGCGGGATGTCTCATTAAGCGCCATATCCACTGTTTTAACATGGTGCGATGTATTCCACACTGGGCATGCCTATTCAGCAGCAGAGTAGCAAAGCGCAAGGACAGATGTCTTCACTGTGTGATCCCCAGGTTGTGCCAGTCAGCTTTCGTATGATATTATTTCTAGCACCCACTTTTTGCTTTATATTCAAGCAGTGCTTCTTATATGTCAGAGCATTGTCCAGAGTGACTCTCAGGTATTTTGGTGTGTGGCAGCGCCCCAGTGGGATTCCTTCCCAGGTAATCCTCAGAGCTCGGGATGCTTGACTGTTATTAAGATGGAAAGCACATTTCTGCATTTTAGATTGATTAGGAATCAGCTGGTTTTCCCTGTAACAGACAGTAAGAGCACGTAAAGCTTCGGAGAGCATCTGTTCGACTATTTCAAAACTCCCTGCTTGAGCGGGGATTGCACGATCATCAGCGTAGGTGAAAGTCTCTGTCCCTTCTGGTAGTGGCTGGTCATTTGTGTAAATGTTAAACATTGATGGGGCAAGCACCCTCCCCGAGGCAGGCCATTCTGTTTTCACCATCTGCTTCTCTGTCCCTGGAACTCAATAAAAAAGCTCCTGCTTTTAGCAGATTTCCATTGAAACGAATGAGGTAGTAGTCCTTTGTGATATTATATTTTTTTCTCAGAAGAAGGCGATGATTTACAGTGTTATAAGCTGCTGACAGGTTTAGGAAGACAGCTTCTATGTGCTGAGTTAGGTTCAGCACTTGTGATGTGCAGTTTTTGCCTTTCCTGAAACCAACTTGCTGTGGAATCACACATGGGTCTATTTTTCCCCAAACTTCTATGCAAAATAAGTCTCTCCAGAACTCTGTAAAGATGGCACAACAAGGAGATTTCCTTGAGGTGAAGAGGCTTTGATTTCTCCTTTTGAATAACCTACCAGTGTATGGTTGGAATCTAAAGGGATGCCTCCATTAATAGCAGCTTTTACAGTAGAACTGGTAGGCGATCATTCTTCATCCTCCATGGCAAGACATATTTTGGAGATCTGGGAAATGATCCAGAGCTAGTTTTCAGATAACATTGATAATTTCTGAGTTTTTCAGCCCCTTTTTTAGGCTGAAAAAGCCCCACCCCCCAGTTTATACTCAAGTCAAGGTTATTTTTTATTTTACTCTGTTACTGTTATTATTTTTTATTACATTTATTATTTTACTTTATCTATTTTACTTTATTAGTATTGGAAGGATGCATAAGCACATTTAAATTGAAGAAGGTTAGAATAATGACAGTCTTATCTTAAATTACAGTTTTATGTAAACATTCAAAAACATGTAAACTACTGATTCCTCAATTAATGTAATTTTATTGGTATCTATTTTGAATTTTACCAGTAGCTGCTACATTTCCCAGCCTTGGCTTATACTTGAGTCAATAAGTTTTCCCAGTTTTATGTGATAAAATTAGGTGCCTCGGCTTATATTCGGGTCCACTTATACTCGAATATATATGGTAATCTGCATTCCGAAACTAGATTATAAAGCAGTGTAAATCCAGCCAAAGGTGCTTTAATATTTTGCTGGGTTCCCCTACAGTTCAGTTTCATACATGGAACTGGAAATCCTTTCCTCTGCGTTGCATGTAATTTTATCATAAATGCTTGTTCTTAATGATAATCTCCAGGCACATTGAAAGGTTTTTGGGGTAAAAACTCCATTTTATCCAGATCTTTATTTCTAGATCATTTCTGTCATTTAAGTTTTAATTTGTATGCAAATCAAATTCAAGAAGGAGTAAAATGAAGGTTAGAGGCTAACATTTCAGTTTCTAAAACTTAATAGGAAAAAAATTGTACGTTCATTTATAAAGTGGACAGGAATTTTCAGATATCTTTTTCTATGCTGACTGTACGCAGAAGTTTTGTGATTGTAGGTAATGATCACCGAAGCTATGGCGAAATTGGTGACTAATTGGGGGAAGAAACTACCCCTTAGACCCCTGTACAGTGTGTTCAGTTCTATCTTGCATTCTGTATGGTAGCTTCTGAATGGTGCATAATTATGAAAAGACTTCTGTTCCTTGATTATGAAAAGAGATCCTGTCATCAGAACTTTTCAAGGATGAATAATAAACACTGCACCTGGTTTCAATTAGTAATGTAGAGAAAAATAAATTTTGGCATAACTTTTTGTTTAAGAGAAGCATGATCGTTACAGCAAATGAGGTATTAACTATATTATGTGAAGGACTCATATTACTTGCAGGGATGGATAAGAATTTCTTGTGCAGGTCATATTTGCATGTAACCCTATAGCATGATTTAGTGTTTCCCAAGCAAGTCTCAGAGTCTAAATGAAGCTCCAGGCTCTTCTGCTTCTTTATTCTCTCTGGTTCATTTGGGCAAGAGGAAGGCTGCAAAGCATTGAGCTTCTATGATTCTTCAACTTTTGGTTTGGAACAAAGCTATGGTTTCAAGTTGGCTTCTTTGGCCATTTGATCAGAGGTTGTGGAGGTAAACAGTGATTCTGGATGTGTGAAATGAGGTGTCCAGCCATTGTGTAGCCCGTTGTCGACCTTTGCAACCTGAAAGACAGTTGCATCTGTCAAGTAGGAAAATAAGGTACCACCTTGTGTGGGAGGCTAAATTTAACTAATTTATGAGGCCATAAAGAAAAAAGACTCCGGGGAATGTGGAATGCGGAAGAACTTCATCTGTGTCGTTGATGGACGATGAAAAGCAGCAGCTCCCCTGGCGGCCAGAAAAAAAGTTAAATAGCCTCGGTGTATTTGTCTGTTAAACGCTGTTTGTCAAACTGGCATTGAATGTTTGTCATATATGTGTTTACTGTAATCCGCCCTGAGTCCCCTGCGGGGTGAGAAGGGCGGAATATAAGAACTGTAAATAAATAAATATAAATAAATCAAGCAATTATGAAAACCGAATGCTAGTGAGATCTTTTTCCTGGCAACACAAGAGAAAGAGGGGTTTTAAAGGGACTGATGTTAAACCATGTTTATTGCCATATGTGTACTAGGATACAGTCTATCACAGTCCTTTCATGGTGGTGTTCTTAATGCTGTACATTACCTAATTTCTATATTTTATATTACAGTATATTTATTCTGAGAGGAATCATACTGATGTCAACAGCTGGGCAGCTACTATAGCATGTACAATTGCCTTTGCTTGTTATTGCTATATATCAGCAATAGTATTGGAAAATTATAGGGGTTGTTAAATGGGTTATAGGTTAATTGATATAATTTTTCTGAAAGTGAACTTTCAAAAAAAACAAACATCTATATATTTGGGTTGTTGTGAGTTTTCTGGGCTGTATGGCCATGTTCCACAACTGTTCTCTCCTGACGTTTCGCCTGCATCTATGGTAGGCATCCTTAGAGGTTGTGAGGTCTGTTGAAAACTAGGAAAATGGGGTTTATATATCCGTGGAATGTCCTGGGTGGGAGAAAGAACTCTTGTCTGTTTGAGGTAGGTGTGAATGTTGCGATTGATCACCTTGATTAGCATTTAATGGCCTAGCAGTTTCAAGGTCTGGGCATTCCACAGATATATAAACCCCATTTTTGTAGTTTCCAACAGACCTCACAACCTCTAAGAACGCCTGCCATAGATGCAGACAAAACGTCAGGAGAGAATGCTTCTGGAACTTGGCCATACAGCCCAGAAAACTCACAACAACCCAGTGATTCCGGCCATGAAAGCCTTTGGCAATGCATTTATATATGCATTTATATATGCAGTTGTACATTGGGACAAGTTCATAACTGCAGTTGCTTTTGATGCAGGCTGGACCAAATGTGATATAAGTGATCATTTTTCTATTACAAAGATTCCACCTCAACATTTGAAAGAACTTCTTTATTGTAAGAGCCATTCAACAGTGGAGCTCACTGCTTGAAAGTGTGACAAAGGTTCCTTTGGAGGCTTTTAATCAGAGGCTGGATGGCCATCTGTCTGGGGTGCTTCAGTAGTGTATTCCTACATTGCTGCTTGTCGTTGTGTTGTAAACCGCGTTGAGTCGCCGATTTAGGCTGAGAAACGGCGGTATATAAGCACAGTAATAAATAAATAAATAAATGGCAGGGGATTGGACTGGACGGCTCTTGAGGTCTTTCCAACCTTATGATTGTTGATTCTAAAGTTTGCTTCTTACAGTTATCCTGGATCTAATTTTTGGGCAATCTAGACCTTCGTTTTACCCCATATTGACTTGTTGTCTAAATTAATATTATGAAGATATAATCCCTATCCATCATGTTATACAATAACACGTAATGGGAATCCGTCTTCAGAATTTTTAGGTGAAATTACCCTAACTGTTTTACACACGGCAGAACTTTAAAATATTGTAATGACAGCATGCAAACTCAACACCTGCTTTTTGAACCTATATATTGAGCTATTTTATGTACTTATTTAGCATTAACAACTATAATGTACTTTTCCTCTTTCACTTGCAGCATCTAACTAAGGATACTAACAAAATAACAATAATTCAGCATTTAAAATCTTAAGTAAATATGTAAAGAAAACACCTCATAAGACATAATTTAGAAAGCAAGAGAGACAGCAGTTATGGTGAAGAAGGAATAAAAATTCTGAGGAAATACAGTTTCAAGACCCCTTATGTACAAAAAAAGTGGCATTTAATGCTTGCATACTATAATGATGTGTGCCTGCATCGTACAAAACTCTTAAAGCAATCACTTGACTGTGGAGTACTGACTATCAGCAGATGGAGCTGTCAATTAGAGACTACAAATTGGAAATCATTCTGTTCCCATGGGTGAATTAGTGTGTTTATTCAGTAATTCTTAGTATTGCAGCTTTTCCATTAGCAGCTGTGCTAAGCTGTTTTGATTAACGTACATTGTCTCTGTCTTTACCCTTTTTCTCTCATCTTAGGAGTGGTATATCTCTTCGGTAAAGTGTGGATTGAGTCAGCAAAGTCCTATGTGAGCTGTTGTGTGACAGTAAAAAATATTGAGAGAACTGTTTACCTACTGCCACGTGAATCGGTACGTCTTTTGATGTTGACTGTAGGAAACTTCAGAGTAATAAGTGGCCTTAAGTTATTCAGCTAAAATGTATTAAGAGAGACATAATTCAAGTCGAAGGCCTCCAGGAGATATTGTGGAATATAGTGTAGATCCTTCTATGTGATGTGGTCTAAAACTATCAATGAAAGTGATAGTCTGTGCAAAGAAACAGCGAAATTAATGAGCTGGGGAACAACACAGTCACAACACTACAACACAATATATAAATATAAAATACATATATTAAAACACGTAGTACAAAGATTAAAGTATAGTAGTAATAGAAGGTAAATTGAAAATCCATGGTTTAAAATTGACCGAGTAGCTTGTGTTTAGCTGTGTAGATTGTGTTAGCTCATTTAGCTGTCAGAGCTCTTCTAGCAGGTCATCCCACAGTCATGGGGCAGCCAATGAAAAGGTCCTTTGGGTGACGGTCACCAGTCTGGTTCTGGCTGGTTGGTATAGATGCCCACTCAGAGGATCTGAGAGTCCTAATGAGTGGATTGTACAGTAGAAGGTGATCCTGTAGGTTTCCTGGATCCAAAACATGTAGATATTGGGCCAATATATTATTCTGTGGCTGCTCTGGTGTGGCATAGACTTCATTGGTCCTGGGATGGCTTTTACAGCTACCTGCCCCCATCTGCTAAGGTGTTTGGAGGGGGTCCCCAACTGCTTAGCATGCTACTAGACAGCCACCCTTTCTGTTTCCTCTGATTCTCCATGTTGAGGCAGAATCCAGGCGTTGGTTAATTGTCACCTGCAGTGACATCAGCTGGGTGGAGGGGAAGAGGAGGAATTTCCCCCTCCTTTTCATGATTGTGATTGGCAGGACCCATGTCATATCTGGAGACTTTTGCAATATGGAGAACGGGGGGGGGGGGGGGGGGGGGGATGGTATGTGCGACCCCATGTCCCTGGGCACAGTTTTTTAAAGAGAAAACTACCCTAAAATATAGCAGAGCGTCCAAAAACATAAACAGGATACAAAAGTTGACCATCAGCTCATTAGTGAGCAAAGCATGAAGTGCCGTGTGATGTAGCTGTGAAGAATTCAGAGCTTAGGAGGCAAATTCAGAGTCCAATTTTAAAAAAAATCACAAAAGGTTTATTTACAATAGAAACAACTGCATTTCTTAATAAAGAACTGGGTCTGAGCTACTCTAACACCATGTCTTCTAAGATTTCAAAGAGGGAAAAACTCAATCACTACATTTCTCTGACACATACGCAGAGAGAGATCTCAAAGCACACAACACATACTCTCCATACTAAAAGTGTAAGACGGTAGAAATCAAATTTAAAAAGGCTTGCAGTAGAAAAGTTTCCAATCAGAATAAGAGCAGATACAGAAGAGAGAAGAAATAGATACATTCCCAACTGTCATACAGAAGACATGGGGGAAGGGAATTCCCTTAGCCTATACTAAACTGACTAACTGCTCCTCATTGAGGACTTGAGATTTGGACAGCATGGGGTTGAATTCCAACACAGTTAACATGAGATACCAGTGTAAACAGTTGTGACTGGTTCCGTCACAGAACAGCCGAGCTGTTTACATGGGCCTAAAGTTTTGGGATGGTATGAATTCTGGCCCAGAATTCTGAGCATCCCAAGGTGGCCTTCCTTCACATTACCCTGGATCAGCTTTTTCGAGCTGATTCAAGCACCCTTCACAGTAAGTGTTCAATGTAGATTGACCATGATTAAGTGGAAAAAAGACAACCGGGGTCTTATCAGTTGATCATGAGTTTGTCCCAAAAATTATTTTTAATCCATCATGTCAGTTCAACCTCTTATGAACCCATCTCTTCTTTGAAGTCTCTGGCTTGGTCCTTTTAATCATCAGTGCCCAGCAGAATGCAAACTGTGTAAGCTGTGTCTTCACCCTGTAGTTTATTGCTACTGTGACCTTCTCTTCCTCTAGTACCTCCTTCTGTTTTAGGGTGCTGTGTAATTATCTAAAGATTTAACATACTCCATTTAAAAACTTTAGGTAAAGCATTTGCCAGTGTAATGACCTCTGAATTTCTTTCCAAAGCGAATTAATATATCTTCTGGCAAAGAGACAAAGGATACTGTGACTATGATGGACGTCTATCAAGAATTTAATGACCACATTGCAGAAAAATACAAAATAATGAAGTACAAGTCCAAGGTTTGTTTAACATAACCCCCTAATAGTACCATGGTTTTAAGTAGCAAGGATAAGCACTTTAAGGCAGGAGAAGTATTTGACAAGAAATAAGTAGGAAATGTTGAAGAGTCCATGATATCTTTGCCTTCTTACAGTAACTTTTAATGGATGTGTTCCAGGACACCCAACATGTTTCGCATTAACCATGTTTGTAATCTTAGGAGCATTCTTTGTCTTAAATGTTTGATTTTAAAGCTTAGTATGTTAAATCTCTATGTCATGTGTACAAAAAACCCCTCAAGTTAGTGAGTGTGTTGTTGTTCATTCGTTCAGTCGTCTCCGACTCTTCGTGACCTCATGGACCAGCCTACGCCAGAGCTCCCTGTCGGCCGTTACCACCCCCAGCTCCCTCAAGGTCAGTCCAGTCACTTCAAGGATGCCATCCATCCATCTTGCCCTTGGTCGGCCCCTCTTCCTTTTCCTTCCACTTTCCCCAGCATAATTGTCTTCTCTAGGCTTTCCTGTCTCCTCATGATGTGGCCAAAGTACTTCAACTTTGTCTCTAGTATCTTTCCCTCCAGGAGCAGTCGGGCTTTATTTCCTGGAGGATGGACTGGTTGGATCTTCTCGCAGTCCAAGGCACTCTCAGAACTTTCCTCCAACACCACAGCTCAAAAGCATCGATCTTCCTTCGCTCAGCCTTCCCTAAGGTCCAGCTCTCACATCCGTAGGTTATTACAGGGAATACCATGGCTTTGACTAGGCGGATCTTTGTTGCCAGTCTGATGTCTCTACTCTTCACTATTTTATCGAGACTGGACATTGCTCTCCTCCCAAGAAGTAAGCGTCTTCTGATTTCCTGGCTACAGTCTGCATCAGCAGTAATCTTTGCACCTAGAAATACAAAGTCTGTCACGGCCTCCACGGTTTCTCCCTCTATTTTCCAGTTGTCAATCATTCTTGTTGCCATAATCTTGGTTTTTTTGACGTTTAGCTGCAACCCGGCTTTTGCGCTTTCTTCTTTCACCTTGATTACAAGGCTCCTCAGCTCCTCCTCGCTTTCGGCCATCAGAGTGGTGTCATCTGCATATCTGAGGTTGTTAATGTTTCTTCCAGCAATTTTCACCCCAGCTTTGCATTCATCCAGCCCCGCACATCGCATGATGTGTTCTGCATACAAGTTAAAAAGGTTGGGTGAGAGTATGCAGCCTTTCCGTACGCCTTTCCCAATCTTGAACCAGTCTGTTGTTCCGTGGTCAGTTCGGACTGTTGCTACTTGGTCCTTGTACAGATTCCTCAGGAGAGAGACAAGGTGGCTTGGGATGCCCATCCCACTAAGAACTTGCCACAATTTATTATGATCCACACAGTCAAAGGCTTTAGAATAGTCAATGAAGCAGAAGTAGATGTTTTTCTGAAACTCCCTGCCTTTCTCCATTATCCAGCGGATATTGGCAATTTGGTCTCTCGTTCCTCTGCCTTTTCTAGACCCAGCTTGAACATCTGGCAACTCTCGCTCCATGTATTGCTGGAGTCTTCCTTGCAGGATCTTGAGCATTACCTTACTGGCATGTGAGAAATAAGGGCCACTGTACGGAAGTTTGAGCAGTCTTTCGCATTTCCCTTTTTTGATATGGGGATATAAGTTGATTTTTTCCAGTCTGATGGCCATTCTTGTGTTTTCCATATTTGCTGGCATATGGCATGCATCACCTTGACAGCATCATCTTTAAGATTTTAAACAGTTCAGCTGGGATCCCGTCGTCTCCTGCTGCCTTGTTGTTAGCAATGCTTCTTAAGGCCCATTCAACCTCACTCCTCAGGATGTCTGGTTCTAATTCTTCACCACACCGTCATAACTATCCTCAATATTATTATCCTTCCTATACAGATCTTCTGTATAGTCTCACCACCTCTTGATCTCTTCAGCTTCTGTTAGGTCCCTGCCATCTTTGTTTCTTATCATACCAATTTTTGCCTGAAATTTACCTCCAATGTTTCTAATTTTCTGGAAGAGGTCTCTTGTCCTTCCTATTCTGTTGTCTTCCTCCACTTCCATGCATTGCTTATTTAGTTAGTGAGTGTAGTATAATTCAATTCAAGTGATTTAGTTTAAGTGGACTTCTGCAATGCAGGAGATGGTTACAAGACAATCATAAACCTTTCTGCTTAGATGTTATTATTCTGCACATGTGTACTAGCAATAAGAGGGTTCTATGAAAAGGGCTTGGGAGCCAAAGCTGAATGGTAGCCAAAAATATGTTGGCTTTATGAGAATACTTGGCCTTCGCAACATTATCCCAATGTATTGTCGAATGCTTTCATGGCTGGAATCATTCACCTCTGAGGATGCTTGCCATAGATGCAGGCGAAACGTCAGGAGAAATGCCTCTAGAACATGGCCATATAGCCCAAAAAAACCCACAAGAACTGAGGGATTATCCCAATGACTTCATGTTCAGTAGGATAGCTGTTCACATAATTTCTTCTGATATAATCTGTCAGATTATGATTGTTCAAAAGTTTTATTTTAAAGAGAGTACTGTTTGTTTCTTTTGTTATGAAGCATGCCTAACAAAAATGCAAGTGTACAGTGTAGGCCAATGTGTTTTCTCTTTAACCATGTTTTGAAGATGTTATAATTACTCTCCAGGTGGATGTTGAAAGTTCTCTAAATATTATCTTACCATTTGATGCCTTTGGGTTATTTAGAGTTTATTGTCAATCTTTTGCCTCTTTTGCATATGCTGCCAAGCAAAATTTAGTGCCTTTTAAAAAATCGCATATGGGAAATCTAGGAAAAGACTTCACAGAATATCTAATTTCTGACTGTGTTCCTGATATGAATAAATGAATGAGACTTTATTTCTATCTCGCACTATCTCCTCAGTGGGGACTCAGGGTGGCTTACAACATATAGAGAGGTAAACACTCAATGCCATATAAAATACAAAATAACACAACCCAAAAGATAAAACCCAATTTACATTTACATAATAGAGAGCAATTTCATAGTTTCTCTCACGTGAAAGTAGCTGCATAGGAGAAAAATGAAGATTTGAGGAAGTTATCAGATGTATTTGTGCTGGTATAAATTATCATCCTATGTTCACAAACACTTATTGCTGATCCTGGAAATGAGAAGTGTGTGGGCTCCCTTCTTTTCTTGTACTCCAGCTGTGGTGCCAAGTACTTGATTTAGTTTTCCAGACACTATGACCACTTTCCAGTTTCCAGCCACCGTTTGGACTAGATCATAATCTAAGAAGCCTGCAGTATTATGTTTGATTGGTGTTTTGTACTCGTAAGGAAGTTACTTTGGAAGGAGAATACAGAACTGCCCTAAACAAGTATTCTATGTTCTGTACTGCAAGAGAAAAGTAAAATGTTCTTGTTATGAAAACTAGAAAGATGTTGGATTTCTGTGAGTGATGAAGGAGAAGCAGAAAGTGGGGTAGAGTCGCTTGGAATTGGATATCTGATGGACCCTGTTTTCTGCTGGAGGAGGAGAACTACTTTCGCAACTGCTTCTCCATCTGCTGAAGGAAGTAGAATACATTATGCAAACATCTAAAATTAAGAAACATTACAATCTTCAGATTAGATTTAAGAAGCAGATAACTGTTTTGTGAGAACACAAAGTCTTGCATGGATTTTGAAATTTAAAGTAAGAAAAAATGACTTTCTTCTACTGAGGAAAATTTATAGTACCACGAGTTTTACACATCAATGCCTCATGAATATGTCAACCATCTATATTTTGTCTAGAAAGTGGAAAAGAAGTATGCTTTTGAGATACCAGATGTTCCTGCAAATTCTGATTACTTAGAAGTTAGATACTCGGTAAGTATATAGTGTTATGCTGCTTCTCTGCTAGTGAATCTTAAACTGAGTGGGCTTGCTGTGTCTTAAGCTTCAAATGGAGCAGTGCTTTCTTTTTAAAAAATCTTCACATTAAATGCTACTTTGTGATGTGTGCTGTCAGACTTGTAGCAGTTCCCAAGTTACAAACATCTGACTTTCAAGCAACTCATAATTAAGAACAGTGGTGAGATGACAGGAAGTGAGAGAAATCTACCCTTCAGAAGGGAAATTCACTCCTGAAAGAGATTTCATGGGGGAAAGGTGTCTCCACTGAAACTTTATCACCAACCCTTGTCTCCACAACAAGCCATTTTTTTTCAAAATCTAATTATCACAGGGACAGAAAGTGCAGTGAAATCTCCCGAACAGGAGCACAGACAGCAAACAAATTCCATGGGAGAGTTAACCCTTCCCTATGCTCTGTCTATATATATGGCTGGGGTACACTGAAAAAATATACCTGTTCAACTTACAAACAAATTCAACTTAAGAACAAACCTACAGAACCTATCTTGTTTGTAACTTGGGGACAGCCAGTGTTTTAGACTGATTTAGAAGCATTGTTGAGGTGTTGGATACTTTTTCCCCTCCTTTCCTCTTGGCAAACACTGCTATAAAGTCATTCCTGTGTTTTTATGGGAAGGTGATGAACAAATTCATGCAGTATCCAGAATAAATGTTGTTTGAGGAAGGAGGAAATAGACATGGATGTAGTGCTGTTGAGGAGACTGGATGGCCCATGAGGTCTCTTCCAATGCTATGATTCTGTGATTCTATCACTTGTTGGGTGACTCTATTAAAAGTGCTACTGCTAAGTGTACATTAATACAATACAAATTAGCTATAATGATAGCATTACTCTAGTGTTGATGGGACTCTTTGCCAATCTCACCTAACAAGAAGCTCATTGAAGCAGGATTCTGATCAGGAACAGTGAACCTTTGCCTTCCAGATGTTTTGGACTTGTTCATCAAAGTTGTAGCCAGTATGACCAATGGTAAAGGAATTATGGGTTTGAGGCAAAAGTGTCTGGAATGCAAACTGCTTTGAGTCCCCCTAGGAGTGAGAAAAGTGGTATATAAATACTGTAAATAAATAAATAAATAAAATAAGGTTCTCCGCCCCTTCTATGAACTCATGGTTTGGCATCCAGACCTCTTGGTGATGAAAAGTTGCTTATTTCTATGACTCTACAATAGTCTGTCAGGCATGTTCTACTTCACATAGCTCTTGTGCTCTTCATTTTATGTACCTTGCTCTGATACTTTTGCTTAGCCATCTTCAGTATAGCTGGTTTATGTATTGGCAAGTATTGTATAGCAGGAATAATAAGTATTGCAAAAATAAAATAAATACCTGATCATTAGTATGGTTCATTTCTCAGGCTGAATTTCCTCGGCTTCCTCAAGACTTGAAAGGGGAAACATTTTCCCATGTATTTGGAACAAACACTTCCAGTCTCGAACTGTTATTAATGAACAGGAAGATTAAAGGACCAGGCTGGCTGGAAATAAAAAACCCACGTATGTATATTTTATGTAGGATATATCATTTTCTGTAAAATGATCGTATCTATAAATGCTTTAGTGGAGGGGTGGTGTTTTGGATAAAATTTAATTTTTAAAAATAACTCAGTGGAGAGAAAAAGGCAAATTTTCTAAAATCCAAAATTGCACGAATTTATACAATTTTGGATGGAATTTATTATTACAGCTGTCACATATTTTTAAGCCATATTTATTTTTACCTATATTACTTGAATCTTAGATGATTTATTAGGTTAGATTTATAGCCAGAATCATGAAAATCATGAAAATAAAACAACAACAACAAAAAAAAACAAAACAAAACACACACACACACAAAGAATTTTCTGATATTTTTTACCCAAGAGAACCCTTCTCTAGGAATGTCTTGATCTTCCAGCACAATCCTTTGATAAATTTCTTCTGGAAACTGACAGTAGAAATGCACTTAGAGGACCTAGACATTCCAGGAGAGATGTTTTCTCTAGAAATCTCTGATGTCCTTCAGCATAACTGAAGGAATGTGATCATAGAGTCATATTGGAAGACCCAGGGATTCCTAGACAGAACATTTTAAAATCAAATCTGTAAATAATGAAACTTTCAAAAGTCAAAATTACAAATGTGGAGGGATGACTATACATGGAAGATGCTAGTTGATTTTTTTGGAAGTTGGTGATTATCATTTGTTTGTGTGGTGGCTTAATGCAAAGTTATGTCCCATACTCAGATTAAACTAGGGTGAAGTGCTGTGAGTGAGTTGCAATAGGAGTAATTTATAAATCTTACTTTAAGTGGGAGGTTCTATTACTTTTCGATATTAATGTGCATGATAATAATACTGAGGACACTGAGATTTCCTTTTCAATATATTTTGTTAGTAATTCCAGCTTTATCTGGATCAAAGACAATTCATGCTTACTAAGAAGCTCATAGATTTCCTTCTGAGTGTGCAGATTTAGGTTTAGGTTTGTCGTTTCCATGAATAATACCAAAACTAGAAGAAATATAGAGTTGATAACTTTCACAACAGCCAAATGCTTAATAGAATTGGATTATAGAATCATATAGAGTTGGAAAAGACAATCTTTGTTTGAACTCTATACAGTAGATTTGTTAAGTAGAAATGTAATTTGTATTTAAGTATTACATGGTTGTGCATTCCTAAAAGCGAATTCTCTGTTACCTCAGAACTCTTGACTCAGCCTGTCAGTTGGTGTAAAGTAGAATTAGTTGCACTGAAGCCTGATTTTGTGACTGTGGTCAAAGACCTTTCCCTGCCTCCCCTTGTGGTCATGTCTCTGAGCATGAAGACCGTCCAGAACACAAAGACTCATCAGAATGAGGTGAGCCCTGTACTTTGTTCAGAAAAACAGCCCAGAATTACTTGGAAAATTAATTATTATTTCCATATCTCTTGATGCTCAGATCTGGAATTGTTTTGATCTGAAAACTCTAGGGTTTTTTTTTTGTTTGTTTTATTTTTGCTAATAAACATTGAAGAGTATATTCTCCTACTGTAGTTTGAAGCTTAATACATACTGATCTTCTCTGAACTCGTTAGTCCATATGTCTGTTTACTAATTTCATTAAAGTATTTCATTTATTACTGGTTTGGGGTGTTTATATATCTGAAGTGTGGTGCATGCATGTTTGTGTGCGTCTCAGAATGAGAGATAGTTGAAAGTATTTCATTTATGAACTAGATCTTATTTCAGTTCACCCACCTTTTACTCATGTGGTGGTTTATGTGTATGAAGAAAAAGTAGAAGGCAAATGGGAAAAAAGAGAAATGAATATGAATTCTGTTTGAGGCATAGCAATCCTAAAAAGCAACCCTGCATTTTATCACATATTGACAGTGGATTGTTAATTCTCCTTACGAGGGGGAAATGTTTCTCCTTGTTTTTCAAGTTATGGAAGTTTAATAAGTGTTATTATCAGGAATCTGGATTGTTTGCTAGTTTTCTTCTGTTCTGACATTGGGAACACTTAATACTTTTCTCCTTGTTTTCAAAAAGTTGTGGTGGTGGAGAACAAGGTGTAAGAGATATAGTAGGGGAAGTAGGGGACTGACAAACCTCTGGTGGAGGAGTTTACTACCTTAAAAATAAGAAGTCTATCTGGCTTATGAAAAGTAGTTTCCTCATCTTTTTGTATGAAAACTATATGTAGTTGAGTGCTGAATATAGATGCCTATGTTATGATAGTTTTTATGAACAGAAAAATGCCTTAAAGAGTTACTGACTAAGAGAGAACTTAAACTGGCTTAGTTACTGTTCATTCTCTTTTTCATTTCTATGTAGATAATGGCGATTACAGCTTTAGTACATCACAAATTTTGTCTTGACAAAGCACCACCTGTGCCTCCCTTTCAGACCCATTTCAGTGGTAAGTATAAGGAGAAACCCACTATGCAGGTCTCCTTCCCACTCCCCTTTTTTCAAATTGAGAACTTGAATGGCTTAGAGATGAGTGATAAGCATAATTCATGCCTCGGCTTTGTCTAGTTGTGTTTCCTCAGTCCTCCCTGGTGAAGACTTTGAGGGCATGTTTTTTTTGTTTCCACAAATGACAGAAATCTAGGGAAGGCAGTGAAAATAAACAGCATGATAATAATTGAGGACCACGTGATAAAAACTCATTTTTTATCCTTTAAGGTAGTTTCTACATTGAATCATTTGCTCTGAGAAAAAGCATCTGTACATTTTAGACAATTTATGACTTTCTCCTAGGTTGGGAACAGGGTCTGGGATGAAGAGAAAATGTGACAAAAGTTACGGGGCCAAGACTAGGAGACATCTAAACACCTCCAAACTTTGCAGTGCATTGATCTGTATAATGCAGATTAAAAACTTGACTAATTTGCCAACATAATCAGTGATATTCATATGAATTACAGAATGAGATAAACTCAAAAGCCATTTGTATCCCTGAGATAAACTCAAAAGCCATTTGAGTCCCATTCAGCAGAAAAGCCAGATATTAAATAAATAAATGTGGCAAAATATATTTCATTGTACAATGTTGACACTTGAGGCAAGGCAACCAAGGATATTATCAAATGGGTGGATTATGAGAAAAGGTTAAAAATACTTCACTGACTGCTGGTTGGTTTCCAAGAAAGGTACAAAGTGTTGGTTGTTACCTTTAAACCCTATGTGGTTTGGGTCCACGTTATGTATGGAATTGCCTGTTCCCATACAATCTGACCCATACACTCAGGTCCTCTGGGGGACATTTACTATAGCCAGCCAGAACTAGGTGGTAGGTATTAATCAGAGAACTTTTTTTTCAGCCACTCCCACCCCGCAGTTGTGGAATGACCTGCCAGAAGAGTTACATCAGATAGATATGATGTCTGTTTTTTTAAAAAAATGCATTGAAGACCAATTTCTTTCGGTAGGCCTATCTGGATGGTGTATGCAATCTGTGGGATTATTTTTCCTGGCCCCTATTTTCAGCCTCTACCATTTAGTCATCTTAGTCTTGCTTTAAGTGTTGTACTGTATTTACTTGAGTGTAATGTGCACCATTTTTGGCTAATTGACATAACCCAAAATGCAGTGCAGCATTGAATTCGAAGGCAGAGGCTGAGGTTTAGAAAGTCTTGCGAATGAACTCAGCTGGGAATGGTGCGAGCCTTGGAAAAGAGTGTGGATTCCCCTTACTTCTTGGGCCTTTCGCTACTTGCCTCGGTTAGGCAGGCAGTGGCAAATGTATTTTTATCTTTTTGGTAATGCACACTTCAGAATTGATGTCTATACTCAAGTAAAAACAGCATCCTGGCAAGATGGCAGCCAGTTAGTAGAAAACAAGATGCCTTTAGCGGTTGCATTAACATAATTCAGGCTGACATGATCTGTGCTTCTTTTCCTATAAAAATACTGGTGCAAAAGCATACACATGGAAAGAACAAATTCTGAGCTTAGGGATTTGTTTTGGTTGCCAGAACATCAACTAAGCCCAGCATCTTTCATCACCAGATTAGCTAATAATCTGGGGATGGGGTAGAAACCAAGCAAAGGCCAAGAGATTGCTTGAAGGTTCCTTCTTCCCTGTTGGATCATGGTTCTCTAGTGGCTCCACCCACAGCTATATTGTTCTCACTGTTAAACAGTTGAGGGTCTGAAATCTTTGCAGAATTTATTTACATTGTCAAGAGAACTAACACTGAACCTGAAGACATTGCCCATCAACTATGAGTTGCACATATTGTTGATAGATTCCAGCTTGTAGTTTTAAATCCACAGTTTTCTTATCTCCTACTGAGGTTGGAGGTGTATGCTAGATACCTTTGGTGTTCTCATCTCATGTGTTTGTTGTTGTCTTCTCATCACAAATGCAATTCGTCATACAACTGAATCTTACAACAACATTTTTCTTCCAAAAAAAAAAAGTCACTGTGCAGAATGTGGCTTATTCTTTAACAATTTCCATTTTGTGTGTTTGTATTTCTTTTGCAGTTATTTCCAAACCAAATGATTGCATTTTCCCATATAACTTCAAGGAAACAGCTAGGAATAAGGTAATGCCGTTTCTCTTTTGTATTACTTTGCATGTTATAGCCTTCATTTTTTTGGGAAGGATGATCTCATGGTGTCAGAGTTGAGGTGTATTCCCATAGGTGCTAGAGATGAAAACGTTGGGACAGATCTTTTAACTTTATTTTTGTATGGATGCTTTATCTGCTAAATTATGAATGATTCTATTATATAGCCTGCTATACTTAGTACTTTCAATTAGAAGCCAGAATGGTAACTGTTAAGATTTGAAGCATGAGTGACATGAACGTTTTTTTCCCCTCTTGCTTTGGTTTTTGTATTCTGTCTTTTACTAGATAAGGTCGGTCTTTTAAAAGAACTGCAGCTTTGATTGGAGTAATGAAAGCCTTTCTGCACATGGTTATTATCCACTTACTGTTTATTTAAAGTATTTCTACCCTACTCTTTTGTCAAAAATGTTTCCATAGTGTTAGTAGCAAGACAGTCTTTTCCTTCAGGCTTAAGAAATGACACAAAAGGAGAAAGGAATGGGCAGAAGGGAGGAAAAAAAGCAAGGCCAGACATTAGTTCTTACAATTCATATTTTGACCACCTAAAATAGTAAAATGGCAGTTATTAATGTGACATTTGGGGAGACCCATGACAGAATATATTTTAAGGACAGTCAATGGAGCTATCCTCTTTCACATCCGACTTTCTGCTTTTTTGCTTCTGTCCTTTTCACTCTGATGCTACCGTAAACATGTGCCTTATGCAGTGTTGTTTAGGAAATTACTGGCTGTGGGATAGGCTTTGTCAGATCATTTGCAGCTGTAAAATGGATCAATAGTTTACCTTGTTTTTAATGTATATGCAAAAATGCTGGTAGCAGTGTTGGAGTGTGGGTGTAGCAGATATTCTGTTAGTGTGATCTGTTACTTATGTTGAATTTGATATTTGATATGTTGTACAGGAGGGATTTCTGAACTTTTGCATTTGTAACCCTTAGTTATATGTGCCCCAGATTCGGAATGCTCTCGCCAAAGAGGTCAGGGTAGCCCCCACCCGCCAGGTTTTTTGTAAACAGCTGAAAACATGGCTTTTTACACAAGCTTTTGACCATGTTTAGGATTATGAATAACTATATTTATAAACTTGGTGAGTGGTCACTGTTTCACTTTACAAGGATGAATATTGCTCATAGCTACTCTTTTATAGCTTGTCGGTTCTTTTAGTATTTTTAAATGATAAGAGGGTTTATTGTTGTTTTATGTGTAATGGGGTTAATGTTATTATTATTAATTTCACATTTTATATTTTGTTGTATGTGTACTGTGTGGCACTACTAAGTGCATCCTGTGAGCCACCCCAAGTCCCTTCGGGGAGATGGTGGCAGAATACAAATAAAGTGTATTATTATCTCTCACGAATTTGAGATACATGGCTGTATTAGGACCGTAGCACAATACCATTAGAATATTTTTAGCAATGCGCTCCACATGAGGTTGCCTTTGAAGACTGTTCAGAAGTTTCAAGAAATCCAACGGACAGCAGCCAGATTTCTCATCAGAGCTGGGTACAGGGAGCACACAACTCCCTTACTACGTCAGCTCCACTGGCTGCCAGTTTGCTACCGACCACAATTCAAAGTGCTGGCTTTAGCCTATAAAGCCCTAAATGGTTCTGGCCTAGTTTAACTGTCTGAATGTATCTCCCTCTATGAGTTGGCAAGGAGGTTAAGATCCTCTGGGGAGGCCCTGCTCTCGACCCTGCCTCCTTCACAGGTGCGATAGGCGAAGATGAGAGACAGGGCCTTCTCAGTAGTGGCCCCTCAGCTATGGAACTCCCAAGTGAAGTTAGATTAACCTCCCTCCTGATCATTAGGAAAAGGCTAAAGACATGGATGTGTGGCCAAGCATTCTGTGAGTAATCTATCAGTGCAATAAGAAAATTATGAAATAGTTCAATGACAAATTGGAACAACCGCAGACTATGATACTAGATTGCGTGATTTCAAATAAGTGATTTTAAGGTTTTATATGTTTGTAATTATTGTTTTAATGTATATGTTCTTATTATGTGTGTTTTTGGCATCAAATTGGTGTTTATACCCTAGGGGGTTGAGAAAGGTGGAGTATAAATATAGTAAATAAATAAATAATACTTTATCTTGTTTAGAATGCCAAAATAGAGATTGCCACAACAGAAAGGACGCTGCTGGGTTTTTTCTTGGCAAAGGTTCATAAAATTGATCCAGATGTTATTGTGGTGAGTAACTCCCTGTGTCTGTTCATCACAGTGAACAGATTATTTCTGCTGTTATCATTGGCTAAATTGCTCTGATATTATGGGGTTTGGCATACATTTTAACTACTGGGAGTTAATATGTTAGCAATGAAAGTTACATCAGTTACAACAATGAAGTGAAAAAAATCGACTGGGATGACTATTACAGAATTCTTTAATTCATTAAGAAAACAAGGATGAGGTAAAGGGAGTTCAATAAATATATTTCCGTTAAGTGTGTTTATGATTGCAGCTTTGAGTGTAGGTCTATTCAGAAGTACATCTCAAGGAATTCATTATTGTTTGTACTCTGGAAAATGTATATTGGATCGCTGAAAGTATATCTTAAATTCTTCTTTATAAACTTTTGTGATATAGTCTCATTTTTGATCTCTTACCACTACTTACATATTTAGAATTGGGAAGAGAAATATTCCAATATTTTTGTTGTTTTATGCGTGGTTTTGGACAATTAAAGAAGATTTTAACAGAAGATATTGCACACACTTCACATGGCATTGTTCATGGGAATACAATAACTGTGACACAAAGTTTCAAATGGTATGATCTTACTATCTATATTCTGACAAACTGAGCTCATACAAGAGATATATTGTGTCCTTATTCATTTTTGTTTCTCTTTTTAAGGGACACAATATTTATGGCTTTGATTTGGAACTACTTCTCCAAAGAATAAATTTCTGCAAAGTCCCACATTGGTCTAAGATTGGTCGACTGAGGAGATCAAATATGCCAAAACTCGGGGTAAATGATACTTAAGTCTCATTGCTTTCTAATTAAAATTCCTGTATTTTGAGTTCTTCCTTCATTTGTTATGACTAGCCCTTTACCATTGCTTACATACCAATCTTGGTTTTCAATAATGTTGAGTGTCTTATTTCAACAATGAGACAAAGCCAAGCAAATTTAGTTTACTTGTCTCAACTAGATGGAGATATTGACAGATTAATGACTAATAGAGGTACTTTTGTGTGTATTCAATTGTGAGGAAACTGTAGGTTGGCTTGAGTGGCAAATAATTCCCTAGGGAATTGCTATGTTTTTCCTGTTCTGCTAAATATCTTAGTGTGTTACATCTGGCAGTCTTTCTCATCTACTTTGTGAATGGACTTTACCTATGGAAACATTTTGCCCTTTTCCATCTTATCTTCATTATCTTACCACCTGTTTTTTTTATAATTATCTAGGTTCTTGGTTTCATCCAGATGCTGATTTGACCACAGTGATATACTTGACTAAGCCATAGTTGCACAGCATTGATATTATGATGTGATGTATGCACACAAAGTTTGGTCTTTTGTACTGTATGTACATTCTGATGCATATGCATGAACACATATACACACACATAATATGTCAGCACAGGAAATAAAGAGTTTCTACTGGTCTGTTACAGAGACGTTTGTACAATGTAACCATTGTCATGTGCTTGGCTTGTTCTGAATCTTCACAAAATCTTGAAGGAAGTATTGGCAGTACACATGGCTGTGTCAATCCACTGAAGTGATGCAGCAATCTTGGAACTTTGTAGTTAAGGTTGTTTAGAAAAGTCATGCCTGTGTGTTGGCTGTAATAACTATACTACAAATTAAAGCTATAAGATTTTTTCTATGTCTCTGCATGGTGTTGCAGGAGATAGGTAACTTAGAGCCCTTCTGATAGTTTGGACTACAGATCTCATGATCACAGACTATTGGCTATGCCAACATTGAGTTATGTGAGGCACTAACTGGAAGGCACCACATTGACCTCAAGGACAAGAGAAGCATAAGTGGAAAGACTTCCTTCTATTTGGGTAAAGGGAAGGATTCTGTATTTGTTATCTGTAAGGAAGTCTATGAGGAGATAAGTTTCAATTTGGTGAGCCAACATAGGCTGTTTTCCTGAGATTTTTTGTGTTTTTATTTGTTTTTGACTGTCCAAAGCACATAGTTCAGGAAGAGAGAGAAAAGGCATTTCAGGGGCAATTCAAGGGTCTAAGAGGGAAGTCTAGACCAGTGGTTCTCAACCTGTGGCTCCCCAGATGTTTTGGCCTTCAACTCCCAGAAATCCTAACAGCTGGTGAACTGGTCTAGACATGTAGGATGATGAACATGGATATTGGTGGAGTTATTGCAGTGGCCTGTATCCTTTACACCTTATTTGATTTCTTGTTGGAGGATCTACTTTGTTATACCTGCAATCAGTGCAAGTTGGTTGGCCTTTTGGAAGGCCCGGATATCTACACTTCAACTTATCAGTTATCGTAAAGGATTTTTTCTATCTCAGAAAAATGGAACATAGTCTTTTGGAAGATTTGTATATTGTAATTTCCCATGGCAGAGGCTTGTACTAGGTAGCCCTTGTAGTCCCACTCAGAATTAAGATTATATGATGCTAAGACTACCCATCGTATTAACTGAAAAAGTCATGATCACTTGTTAACTTAGTTTTCCTCTACAATGTTTCTTGTGGTATTAATGGTTCACTTGTTTGCTCTCTGGTCATTTTGTATACTTCTAATAACAGATAAGTGTTTCATTAAGTTATACTGAATGGATAAACAGTTGTATTTTTGGGTTGCTGTGAATTTTCTAGGCTGTATGGCATATTCAGAAGCATTCTCTTTCCAACAGACCTCATAACCTCTGAGGATGCCTACCATAGATGTGGGCAAAATGTCAGGAGAGAATGCTTCTGGCCATGAAAGTCTTTAACAACAATCTGTATTTTTTGTAGCAAAAAATTATTGGAGATTAAATCACATTCTGTTCTCTAAGTGAAGCAGATTCACAGAGTGGTGAATTTGTTTATTGAAATTGCTGAATGAAAATAGGAAATTATTAGTATTAATAATTAATAAATGGTGCTGCAAGTCTTTTCCAGCCCTATAAAGTTGTTTATATGTTTACATGAGAAAGGAGAAACTTCTGCATAATGTCTGTTTTGGTTAATTAGTCCTGAACAGAAACCTCTAAAGATTTTTTTTTCTTTTTCATGGCTATTAAGGGTCGGAGTGGATTTGCTGAAAAGAATGCAACTTGTGGTAGAATGATCTGTGATGTAGAAATTTCAGCTAAGGAACTGATTCGTTGCAAAAGTTACCATTTGACTGAACTTGTCAAACAGATTCTGAAAGTGGAAAGAGTAACAATCCCACCTGAAGAGATACGAAATATGTACAGGTATGTCATTGGGATACTTTTATTATAATGACTACAATAACCACTAGCAGTAATCCACTCACAGTAAGGATAGGTAACCTGGTGCCCTCCAGATGCTTTAGTTGGCAACTCCTCCTTTGCTTGACAATAGGCCGTGCAGGTTGAAATTGTTCATAGTAGTTATCCGTAATGTAGAGGCTACCATGTTACTTATCTCTGACTTGGAGAATCAGGAAGGAATAAAAAACAACCTGTCTGCTAAGAGACAATAGTTACAGATGTTTTAAAAAGGTGAAATAAGAATTTGGCATCAGTCTACTATATGCCGGGTCATGCTAGATTGACATGATTCTGTTTCTCTCATTCCCTTTTAAAAATACTAAATCACTTTGTCAATTAAGGCTTGACTTTCTTAGATAATTGAAAGTCATAATTCACATCTTTGTAGAATATGAAATGCAACAAGATAGGTATCAGCATACTAGCTGTGTGATTAATAAAGCACAAGTTAAAATACTTTGGGTTGTTGTAGGTTTTTCCGGGCTATATGGCCATGTTCTGGAGGCAATTTTTCTCCTGAAGTTTCGCCTGCATCTATGGCAAGCATCCTCAGAGGTAGTGAGGTCTGTTGGAAGTAGGAAAAATGGGTTTATATATCTGTGGAATGACCAGGGTGAGACAAAGGACTTTTGTCTGCTGGGGCTAGATGTGAGTGTTTCAGCTGATCACCTTGATTAGCATTCAATGGCTTGGAAGTGCCCGGGGGGAATCCCTTGTTGAGAGTGATTTTATGTGCCTGTTTGTTTCCCCTCTGTTGTTTTGCTGTTGTGATTTTTGAGTCCTTTAATACTGGTAGCCAGATTTTGTTCATTTTCATGGTTTCTTCCTTTCTGTTGAAATTGTCCACATGCTTGTGGATTTCAATGGCTTCTCTGTGTAGTCTGACATGGTGGTTGTGAGAGTGGTCCAGCATTTCTGTGTTCTCAAATAATATGCTGTGTCCAGGTTGGTTCATCAGGTGCTCTGCTATGGCTGATTTCTCTGGTTGAAGTAGTCTGCAGTGCCTTTCATGTTCCTTGATGCGTGTCTGGGCGCTGTGTTTGGTGGTCCACAGCTGCAGGGTACACGGTAGACTCCTGCAGAGTCTACTGTGTCAACATATACATAAAGTACAGATGCTTATTTATTTTATTATTTACTTACTATATTTGTACCCCACCCTTCTCACCCTGAAGGGGACTCAAGGCGGCTTTACATATAGGCGACAATTCTGTGCCATTAAAACAACAAACAAAATAGACATTTAAATCAAAACCACAAATTAAATATTTAAAATATGACACCAACTGTTAAAAATCACGCCATCCACAATCATAATCCGGGTCATTCTAGTAGTCATTGCACATATTGTATTTATTATTTATTTATTTATTTCGCTGCAATTATTATCCGAAGGCTTGGTCCGAAAGCCACATTTTGACTTTCTTTCTGAAGGCCAGAGTGAGGGGGCTGATCTAATATCACTGGGGAGGGAGTTCCATAGCTGATGGGCCACCACGGAGAAGGGCGTATCTCCCATCCTCACCAGAGTCACATCTTTCCAGGAGGCTTCCTCTCTTAATAGATCTTTTGGGATCTTATTTTCAAAATTGTCCCCATTCATCATCACATATGCTCTTATTTCAATGCCCATTTCTAGTTCAAAACACTCACTTCTGTTGACCTTTGAACCCCAGGCAGTCACCAGAGTGATATGTGTCACAGGCCTGTGACTGCAGGGCATTCATATTTTCGCACACCTGGAGGATACCCTCCTAAAATCTGACACTTTTTTGTGGACTCAACAACCGCCATGACAGTGCACCAAAACCACAGCTTCATGGTCAGCAAACAGATGAGTCATCTTGTCCCTAGTTCACTTAGGTACCCTGATAGACATAGGAAAAGGGTGCATTGAGAAGGGCACATTGGGAACTTATGAAGATCCAATCTAGTCAAAGTGAAGGAGCCATTCAGCTATTCCATAGGTGGCAAGATTGCTTTATCTTTTTGCAGGGATCTCCTCTCTCTCTCTCTCTCTCTCTTTTTCTCTTTTGTTGGCTTGGGAATGAACTGAGGAAGAAATAGGGATCCAAGAAGAAATACTTCCAAATCAATGTGGTGAATGGAATGAACCCTTTCTTGAAAGGCTCCTTCTCCTTAGAGTGCATGGACCCTCACAGTACATTCCCAATGTGCAACTCTATCTATTTCCTATTTTGTGCCTGAGTAAAATTTATTAAATGATCTTGACCGCAGTTTGTGTGGTAATTTCTTTTACCTGATTTGTTAGCTCTCCCCTGCATTTTGCCCACCTGTTGTATGTTGCGTGGCAAAATTTCACTGCTGATTATATTGATTTCTGAATTATCAGATCTTTTTCGAAACAAAATTTATTTTATTGGGTTGGACTATATTAACATTGGTCATAATTATTCTTGCGATTTCAAACCCAGTTTGGAGCCTATTCGTTGTACAGTAGAAAAACATGAAACGAGTGAGTCCAGTTCACTTTATAAAGAGGTGGCCTGTTGGTGATTCCCAAGTCTCATTCTATGTTTGAATCGAGACTCTACTTTCCTAAATTCTTTATTTGATGAAGTCTTTCTGCTGTTACAGTCCATGCTACCCTTCAGTGCCTCAGAGATGTACTATTGTTTGATATCATTAAAATGGTTAAAAACAATGTAATTTTTGGAGCCAAATAGAATTTACGTTTTCAAAGTAGTTCATGAGTATTTGTCAGTGACTTCTGACATTACGTGCACAGTAGTAGCAGCTTAAATGCTTTACCATTTTGCATTAATATTGTTTTTAAAATAGCTTCTATTTTTTCATAGTGACTCCCGTCAGTTACTTTACATGGTGGAAAATACCTGGATTGATGCCCATTACATCTTACAAATAATGTGTGAGCTGAATGTTCTTCCACTAGCACTACAGATTACAAATATTGCTGGCAATGTTATGGTAAACTTTTATTTCCTTTCTCAGCAAATTTTGTGTCAGTTCTTATACCAGAGTTTGCTGTACTATAAGAAATGTTACTTTTTAAAAAATAAGATACATGGGAATGAAGCCTGTTAAAATAGTTTAGTGACACCAGGCACTTATTCAGGTTAGGTTAGTGTGTCAAAGTTTAACACATGGAATAAAAATGGAATATGTCTGAAGCTTTATAAAGCTTTTGGAGGAAAACACATTACAATATCATGATTGGCATTTGACCTCTGTTTCAAGCTGTTCCTTTTGCTCTTTTTCTTCCTGCAGTCAAGGACATTGATGGGTGGGAGAGCCGAACGTAATGAGTACTTACTCCTTCATGCATTTTATGACAAGGAGTTTATTGTGCCTGATAAACAACTGTTTAAAAAGACTCAGCAGAAGCAGGTGAGTCTCTCCGCTAGTCCGTCTTTATATGTTCAGACTTATAGGCAGTGGACTTGTTTAGAATTATGGACACAAACTCTAGTGATTCTTAGATATACACGTTTCCTTGGACTCAGTAGTTACCTGGCTCATCAAAATGGTTGGAAATCCCCCCAGAACAGGATCAGGTATACATCAAGAGGACCAGTTATCTTTTCCTCTTCATGAGTGGAAAGACCAGCCAGCAATTCAAAGACAAATGGTGGACTGCATACGCTTTCTGTTGCATTCTATGCATTCCTTCTTATTCACTAAAGTATTGGGAAATCTCCAGACAAGATGAGTGACTACCTTGGGAAAAGAGGAAGGGGAAACTCCCATTGTTTGTGTAAGGATGTATCCAGTTATTTTGTTGTAAACCCAAATATGCATGTATAAGATTGTACTGCATGCTTTACAGTGTATGTTCTAAAGCTCATAAATCAAGATTTTCTTTCAAATTATGCTGGGCTATTATGCTATGCTTGGGTTATTTTTTATTTGACTGGCCTAGATTTCCTATTGAAGCAAAGCAGGGTTAGTCCTAGTTAATACCTAGATGGGAGGCAGCCAATCAGGTGCTGTAGACTACGGTATATTTCAGAGGAAAGGATGGACAAAACCACCTCAGGACATTCTTTGACTAAGAAAACCTTATGAAATTCATGGGGTTTTCATAGGTGAACAGGAGACTGAAAGCCACATACACATACATACATACAATAACCTTTCTCATTGCATCATATAGGGCTCCTATAGCTAATTCAGGTTTGCACAACCTGTGGCCCTCAAGGTGTTTTAGACTTCAGCTCCCAGAATTTCTGAGCACTGGACAAACTGGTGAAGGCTTATGGGAGTTGGAGGGCCCCAGGTTGTGTAGTCCTGATCAAAATAATCATCTTGGAAAAAATACTTTAAATTTATTTTTGTCTTGTCTGTAGTAATTATGATAATTAATTTCAATTTATCTTTTAAAATAAATAGCAGTTTATTGTAATTAGAATTTTCTTTTTATTCTTTTTTTTTTTATACAGCTGGAAGAAGATGAAGATTTTGAAGGAGATCAGAATAAATCCAAGATAGGGCGAAAAAAGGCAGCATATTCTGGAGGTTTAGTTTTGGACCCCAAAGTTGGTAAGATCTGACAGCTTTTACTGTTTGCAATAGTAGTAGATCAAGTAATGGATAGGAAAGGTTATACAGGCGAACTAAATTGTGTTACAGTAAGTCATTATATCTATTCAACAGATTTCATAAAGTGCTTGCTCCTTTCTTTAGTGAAGCACAAATGGTATTATAGTGGGAGTCTTACGGGAGTAGTGAAGCAATGCCGCATATTGTAAAAATGTCATTGCTGATTCCATTTTTGGCACACAGGAAGAAACATTAGCTTTAATTGAGAGAACGTTATATCTTGTGGAGGAGGAAAATTGTTTGAGACCTAATTGAGCTGTTGTGTGGAAGTAAATTGTTTCTGCTTATATCAGTGGAACATATGGAATGAGAAATTTTGTGTACAAGTTTGTAGATAAATGTCAAATATGTAAAGTGTATGTAATAGACAAAATGAAGACAAATAATCGGTGCCTTCAGTTGAGCCATCTTGATGTACATAGATCAACTACTACTATAATAGAAAACATGGCAAGGATAACCGTTTATGTGAGGCAGGCGCATTACATTATTATGAATAGCTTCCCTGAATCATTTCAGATATGCTGATTTCAGGCTCTTCGGTGCAGCTTGAACTCAAGTAAAATGTAGAATCATAGCAAACTTGTACCTATGGTAGATGTGACTTTTGGAAGCCTGGGAAAGCACATATCATATAGGATAGGGTGGGTTATAAATTTAAAAAGTATTATTATTACCCTATGTGAGACTTCTCCCCCTGCCCTTGAAAGTTCATTTTTTGCATATCCAAAGTTATATTGGAGAGAAAAACATACAGTTACTTACATTCTCCCTTGTCATTGGGGCACATGACCACTATATGGCAAAAAGTCCCTTCTAAATGGTGACCAAGGGTGATATTGTGCCACTTTTGGTTGCTCCTTTAGAAAAGATTTGGATAGGAGTGGTGTTGGGGATTAAAATATTCACCTCACGCAATTGAACACATTTATAAAAATGGTTGGGGCTTTGGAGACTGAAAGGGGGGTCAAGTGGCTGCTTGCAGCCTGTGGGCAGGACCTTGCCCACCTCTGCCGTGTAGTAAATAGTGTGACTAAAATAGAACCTCTCTCTCTTTTTCTTATTTCAGGTTTTTATGACAAGTTTATTTTGCTTTTAGACTTCAATAGCTTGTACCCTTCAATTATTCAGGAGTTCAATATCTGCTTCACAACAGTTGACAGAGTGTCTCCCAGTCAGGAAAAAAAGACAGAGGTACGTGTTTACTTTGCATGTGAACTCGAGAGAGACTGGACATATTTCCTTGGTTGGTCATGGAGTGTCATATTTTTCCTAACTAATAATAATAATATAATAATAATAACTAATCAGATCTAAATTGGAGAAATCATCACTACTTAATGATGGCTGAGTTATTTGTAGACCAGTGTTGAGTGTCCCTTTTGTGGGTCTGATAATTCAGTGGTAGGATAGATGTCGGAGGGCCAGGTCATTAAAGCACCATTTTAAAGCTTTGTATATGGTTTTTAAAATTAACTATTATGTTAAATGTTTTAAAATTGTAAAGTATTTAATTGCTTTTTGAAATAACTGGTATGTATACTTTTTATGATTTTGTATGATTTGTATTTAAATATGAATCCCATTATTGAGAAAAAGGTGGGATATAAAAGCAAAATAAATAAATAAATCTTCCTATAAAACCCCGTCTATGTCTGGAGATCTTCTAGGCCAGGGGTGTCAAACTCATTTTCTCCAAGGGCCACGTAAGCCTTATGGTTGCCTTCAAAGGGCCTTTTATAATTGTAAGACTGTGTAAAGGTAACTTTGCTGCCCTGGCATCGAAAGCCTCATAGGTCACATGAAATGACATGGCAGGCCAGATTCAGCTTTATGTTTGACATGTGTAGTCTAGATTAACACCTCTCTGTTTGACCATCCTGACATGTATATCTGATGAGTATGCAGGAAAGGGCTTTCATAGTGGGTGCTCTCATGGTTTGGATCTTCTTCCCCAGAGAGATTGGACTGGCATCCTTTCCTTATTTTCCTTCTGCAGGCAAATAACAAGGTGTCTGTTTTCACATGACTTTGTGGTCTGTTCTAGTAAGTCTTTCATGTGCTGGTTGTCTTCATTTGTTGTTTCTTTTAAAATGTTTTTTTAAACTGCTATTAAGACTTTTGATAGTTTAACCATTGTTTATTTAAGTAAGACATTGACATTAGGTCTAGTCGTGTCCGACTAGACCTAATGCCAATGGTGCTCATCTCCATTTCTAAGCCAAAGAGCCAGCGTTGTCTGTGGACGCCTTCAAGGTCATGTGGCCAGCATGACTGCATGGAGCGCTGTTACCTTCCCGCTCAAGCAGTACCTATTGATCTACTCATATTTGCATGTTTTCAAACTACTAGGTTGGCAGAAACTGGGGCTTATGACAGGAGCTCACCCTGCCTGGCAGTTTCAAGCCACCAACCTTTCAGTTAGCAAGTTCAGCAGCTCAATGGATTAACCTGCTGCACCACCACAAAAAAAAAAAAAGATTTTTGGGAGGGGGGGGGAGGTAAATGTTGAATGAGATCTGCCTTAGGAGATCACCAGGGGAATTCTCCAGAGAAGCATTAATTCTATCTGTTTGTCCATTTCTGGAAATTGTGGCTTCTCAACTCATCATTAGATTTTTTTTTTTAAATCCAGGGCTCGGTGTAACATCTGATGCCTGGAGGTCTATAATAGCAATTTCTATACATTTATAATAGGAACTAAGGTATTGTCGTAGTATTAACATGTTGAATTTGTACACAGGATGGTGGAGGAGAAGAAGAAATTCCTGAATTACCAGATTCAACTCTAGACATGGGAATTTTGCCAAAAGAGATCAGAAAGCTAGTTGAGCGAAGGCGTCAGGTGAAGCAGCTGATGAAACAACCAGATTTAAATTCTGACCTCTACTTACAGGTACATGTAATAGTGAAATATTTGTTGCTTGGTTGTATATAGCTTTCCTGAAATGCTATAATTACAATGTAGAATAGATACTGGAACACCAATGGCAGTTCTTTCCAAAGTTTTGAAGGAGACAGGAAGGAGGATTTTAAGTTAGAGTACATCTGATATTTTTAACTGCAGGTTGTAACAGGTTTCTATATTTCTTTTCAGTATGATATTAGGCAGAAGGCATTGAAGCTTACAGCTAATAGCATGTATGGATGCCTAGGGTTTTCCTATAGCAGATTCTATGCAAAGCCCCTTGCTGCTCTGGTGACTTTCAAAGGCAGAGAGGTAAGTCAATCGTGATCAATAAAATGTTTATTTTGTGCATCTGTGTACACACATGTGCAAATTGCCATTGATATGTATTTCTTCCCAAGCTTACGTTAGGGTAGGTGATAGCATTTTTTAGGTACAGAATGTAACGTGATGCAAAACTGAATCAGCATGAAATCATTAAAATATGCTGTGTTCAGTGCAACTTGGAATAATGACTGTACTTCCAAACATTTCATAAGCTGATACTAATAAAGACAGCACAAATTTGTACAATGAGTAATCTTACTCAAACAGGAACATAAGGACTTGTTGAATCTGTGTGAATCAACAAATCCTTATGTTCCTGTTTGAGTAAGATTACTCATTGTACAAATTTGTGCTGTCTTTATTAGTGAGTGTATGTGTGTGGGAAAGAGAGAATGAGGTGATGGATGTAGTGCCTTGCCCTGTTCATTGAGTATTAATTACCAAAAGCAATTTTTCATTTGCTGTAAAAGTTATCTTTAAAAGTCATATATAGAGCCATAGAATCATAGAGTTGAAAGAGCCCTGTGAGGTGGGGTGACATTAATAGTGAGGAGGGGTATTGCAAAAGCGGTCAAAGGATATAACAAAGTTTTACTGAATCATATCAACAGGACTTTAAGGAAAAGCTCTCAATATAACCGTAATCCCAAGTTTATATGCCAACAGCAGAGGTAGAAAAAAAATTGAAAAGTGATGTGGGCAATTGGTCACACACCAAAATAGAATGTCTTGTTAATAATAGATGATAGGACTGAAAAAACAAACAAACAGGAAACAACAGAATAAAAAATGGTGGGAAAAATTGGCCTAGGATGAAGAATTGAAGCAGGAGAGCAATAGATTGAGTTCTGTGAGGCCAACGGATTGTTCATCACAAATACATTCTTCAAGTAACCTAAAAAGTAACTGTCTGTATCTGTGGTTCCCAACATTTGGTCCTCTAGGTGTTTTGGACTTCAGCTCCCACAGTTACTAACTGCTGTTAAACTGGTTGGGATTTCTGGGAGCTGAAGTCCAAAACACCTGGAGGACCAAAAGTTGGGAACCATTGGTCTATATGGACATCACCTGATAGTCATTATAGAAATCAAATAGACATAATTGGAAACAGAAGATGGAGAATCGCCATTCTTGCTGCAAAAACAAGCCCAGGAGCAGATTGTGGCACAGACCATGAACTGCTAATAACAAAAATTAAAGCTAGAGAAGTCTAAGCCAATCACCATTCCAAAATATACCTTGTAGAACATCCTCATACAATTTAAAGATAATGTAAAACAGATTTGTACTGCTATTAAGCCTATTTGAGTAGAGCAAGAAAAACTCTGGACTAAAGCCAGGGACATTGTCAGGGAGAAATGAGAAAAGACATATATAGATAACAAAAAAGAAAGATAAACCTCAGTGGATAACAGATAAAACTGTTCAAGATGAAAAGCAGGAGTAAAAGGGTGGTTTTGCCATTCCTTCCTCTGAAATATTGCCTCCATCCAGCACTTGATATTCATTGGTGGTATCCCATGCAATGAGAACTGAAGCTGCTTGACTTCCAAGATTGGATGGGTCTGGTGCTTCCTGGGAATTGAGGCCCTAATGCAGTGGTTCTCAACCTGGGGTCCCCAGATGTTTTTGGCCTTCAACTCCCAGAAATCCTACCAGCTGGTAAACTGGCTGGGGTTTCTGGGAGTTGTAGGCCAAAAACATCTGGGGACCCCAGGTTGAGAACCACTGCCCTAATGTATGATTTCTTGATGCTGTGTGCATTTAAGTCATTTCTGACTATGGTGACCTGATGATGGGTTCTTCTTGGTAAGATTTATTAATAGCGAAATTTGCTTTGCCTTATAGTTCAGAAGACAAGATTATGCCAAAACCTGTCTTTTAATAAACTTGTTGATTTACAAAAACATTTCTATGTCACACTTAATGCTGAAAAAAAAAGACTTTTGTGTTCTTTCACTTTTTTCCTTTCTTCACCATTGTTTCAGTACTAAAAGGAATAATGTATCTGTACAAATAGTTTTCATTCTTCCATTTAGAACTTGCCTTGTTTTATTACAGAATGGTCTTTCAACAGATTGATGCCATGATTTAATAATAAGACATGGATCTAGATTAACTCTTAGCAGAACATCTCACGCTGAATGAACTATTATATTGCCTTTTTTGTTCAGTAGTTTTTAATTTGTGTAACAATAGTGTGATAATTATTCAGATGCTTCACTAGATGGCGATAGAGATCTTGTGTTCATTAACAAAATTAAAATACTTATGGTCACTGTAGGTTAGTGCTAATTATTTTTTACCTTTATTTGAAATTTCCTGTATTGTAGCAAGTAAAATAAAATGGGGTTTACTAATTTGTTTTTGTGTCGTTCACTGGAAGGAAAAAATGCAAAATTCAAGGATGTGTGAGATTGAGGCTGTTTTCTCCATCTTCATACCTTTCAGTTGTTTTGGTGTTCAGCACTCATATTTCTGCACTATATGACATTATTATTATTATTATTATTATTATTATTATTATTATTATTATTATATTTATACCCCGCTTCATCTCTCCCAAAGGGGACTCAAAGTGCCTTAACATGAAAGCATTAGCACACAATTTAAAATATACAGATATGCAAGTATTAAAACAGAATTAAATATAAACAGTATTAAGAAATCACAGTTAAAAACCATTGAAACATAATGTGTAAAACGTGTTTGCATGACTAAATGCATTCAATATAATGAATGCTATTGGATGATATTGGTTTGCGTGATTTTAAATAAGTGGTTTTAATGTTTGATATGTTTTAGTGATTATTTTAATGTATATGTTTAATTTACTTGATGTATGTTCATGTGGTAGCGAATTGCTGCCTATATATGTGAGTTGCTCTGAGAAGGACGGAGTATAAATGTGGCAAATAAATAAATACATTTCTATGGGGGGCATTGTGTGTGAACACTTCTCCAGCACCTAATTTTCAAATATACATTCAAAAACAAGGCTCAAAAAGAAAAAAATAGGGGGAAAGAAATATAACTATAATAATAGTATATAAATTATATTTTATGTTTTTCTTTTGTACCTCTGAAGAAAGCCGTGACCTACTGGAGTAATGGGCAGTATGGCAGTATAGGCTGCTTCTGACAATTTTTGTGATCTTTAGCAGGATCCCTATTGGCCATATAAGTTTGCGGTAAAATTGATTGTTACACCCAGAAGCCAGTAGGAAGTCTAGCTCTCTTTGAAAACAGAGTGTGTACATTCTGGGGACCTTGTCTGTATGTAACACAGCGAGTTTTTGCCACATAGGTTCAGGCCTTTCTTCCCTCCTCTAACAATTGACCTCCAGGCTCTCAGTACCACTTCAAGCAGGTACATTGTTCTTTAGCGGCCTGGGCAGCACAGTAATGGTAGTATTTATTGGTCAGTGGTCCCCAGTGCTTTCTGTATTACCTGTCCCACAGCCTTTTAGTGGAAATGGTGTCAGTAGCAGTAGCATCTCTTGGCATGCTGAGTGCATAGGCACATAGGAGAGCAAAGGGTATTCATCTTTGTGTGCAAAGTTATAGCACACAAAGGTGAATGATAGGAAGGGAAAGGGCGTGACCTCATGGACCAGCCCACGGTAGAGCTCCCTGTTGGCCGTCACCACCCCCAGCTCCTTCAAGGTCAATCCAGTCACTTCAAGGATGCCATCCATCCATCTTGCCCTTGGTCGGCCCCTCTTCCTTTTTCCTTCCATTTCCCCCAGCATAATTTTCTTCTTGAAGCTTTCCTTTCTTCTCATGATATGGCCAAAGTACTTCATCTTTGCCTCTACTATCCTTCCCTCCAATGAGCAGTCGGGCTTTATTTCCTGAAGTGTGGACTGGTTGGATCTTCTGGCAGTCCAAGGCACTCTCAGAACTTTCCTCCAGCACCACAGTTCAAAAGCATCTATCTTCCTTCGCTCAGCCTTCTTAATACCTTCTTAACTTGATAAAAGTTGATCTATTGATCTCCATACCACAAGGGGCTCCCTGTGGTGAAGAGCTGACTACAAAGGTACATATCAATATATGGACACCAAGAGAAAATGACATCAGTAGTTGTAAGTTAATTAGGTCAAACTCTGCTGCCATCTGCCATAATTTTGTCTGTCCTTTTCCTACATTGCCTTTTTTGGTGGCTTTCAGTAATTTGAGCTTTCTTAAATGGGTCCTGTAGTTACAAGTTTGAGAACCCGTGTATTAATTGAATTCTTATGCTATGCTGGATGATTATTTGAAGGAGAAGCTGGAGCCTTTATGGATCATTTCTCTGATCCTCAAGCTAGGTTTGATGCTGCATTTGAAAAACTGGAGAACACACCTCTATCTCTATCTAATCATATTTCTGTGACACAGTATAGGTTGGTACACTAATCCAGGAGCAGGTCCCAGATAGGCAGTTATTTTGCTATTAACCAATGTGATAATACAAAGTAGATTCTGTATGTTTTGATGATTTTGTCATAAAAGTGCCAGAATTAATGAGGCTAAACCGTGTTAAAATTGTACATTTTTTCCCTTTATTGTGAAGAACGTTGACCAACAACTAGTAGTTTGAGAAAGATCTGAAGATTTAATATAGTTCCACAATATATTTTTGTAGTGTTCAGAGTACAAAGTACTATAGCTCTCACTGGAAAAATTAGAAAGATTGAGAGATTTGAGTAAGATGAAACAGAGTATCCTATATTCCCATGTATAGGTTGACCTCACGTGCAAGTAAAGGGCAGGTTTTGGGGCTGAAATTGCATATTTTGATGACAACTTTTGAAAGTCATTCCATGGAGAGAGAAAAACACTAATACTGACTTGGGCCCGTCTGCCTCTGGCTGCTGCTGCCATTTCCCCAGCCAGGCATTCAAAAAGTCCAGAAAACATCACGAGAGAGAGGGCAGAAAACCCTTCTTGTAGGTTCTCGGTACACTCCTGACCAAGTTACTCTGAAATAACCGTCTGAT